GTTCCATTGGCAGATCAAAATTTTTTCTTCTGCGCGTGCTCCTGGCTGGCTCCCCGCTCCTGAAAAATGGCTTTTAACGTCCTGTTGTTAAGCTGAGGTCAGTTATGGGAGGTGGGGGGGATGGGGAGATGACAGTGAACAAGGGCAGGTTGCTGTGCAGATTTAAGTTATTGCCTTCTCTATTAATAAAAGTTTCTGGAGATTTAGAGTCATCCTCCCCTTCTTGGCACAGAGAGGGAGGCAGCCTTACAAATGGAGATTTCTTTTACAAATCTAAATTTCCCTTCCAAAAGGATAACTTCTACCAGGTTTTCAGAGCTTTTCCTATGTCTGCTGTTTTTTTTAATAATCATCAGCTCAGAATAGCCCTTATGCCAAAGAGGCATATTTTGGGGTGGCACATTCTGTTCCTGGTCCTGTGGTTACATCCCTAATGCCCCTAGCCCCACAAGGAAAGGCCTTTATAACCCCTCTAGAGTTATATGGATGTTATATGGATTTGCATATGCTTGTAAAAACCGTTGTTGTCTGGAGTTTTTACTGGCCAATGTAATCAGTAATAGCCAGTAATACCCTGAGTCATTAACAATTTACATACATTACCTCATTGACTTTTACAAACTTGTGCAGCAGATGTTATTTCTATTTAAAAGAAGTGGAAACTCGTTTGAATGACAGGAGTCACTTATTTGTGCTCCTCACAGCTAGTCAGTAGAGGAGTAGGGATTTGTCTGACATCTGAGGTCATTGCTGTTACCCTGGACTGAGCCTCCCTCCAAAAGCATCCTTGTGCTGACGGGTCGGTTACTGAAGTTGTGAGTAAGGCTCCTGTGCTGCAGTGAGAGGGATGTATGGGAGTGCTACCTGGTTTATGTTGTAAGTGTAATTCTCTCTTTAAAAAATTTACGTTGGCTTTTGTTTTTGTGGTCATTTTAATTTTAATATTTGCTTACTTTTGAATCTGAATTATTTTTGAATTATGTAATTAAAATAGGAAGGATAGTATAAAATTCTATGATAGAATTGATAGTCCTTTGAAAAATAAGATAATAAAATCCACTTATTTTACACAGGAGAAAACCAGAGCTCCAGGAAATTAACTTGCCCAAAATCACACAGTTAGTTGCTAAGCCAGTATCCAAACTGTACAACTCCCAATCTAATTCTTTAAGTTTTATGTAGCCCCTTGTACTCAAAAGATTCTTTTAACCAAATGTGGCAAAGATTTAGTACCCAAAGTTAAGCCAAAACCTATTGTACTACCACATGCTCACTACTTTTTAACTTTAACTTCTTGGAGTGAACCACTGCTATGAAACAAAATTGCTTTCGAGCAGGGGAAGAAAACTCAGCTGTCTGCAGGGGCCAGCAGTAGGAACTGTGGAGAGAGCCGGCCCCAGGGAAGCATTGCCCTCCTGACGTCATCTGATTAGTGACACTTGAAAATGCAGGTTCAGTATTATCAGATCTTCTCATGCTAGAAAAGCAGATATTATTATAAATATTGACAACTATGTCATACTTTAAAACGACACCATAAGACATAAAACAAAAGCGTCTGAGGGCCAGTTTGAGGCCACCGGTTTGGAGCCTGTACTTTAAAGGGTTTAGCTTACAGTGCAGCTTTCATTCCGTCGCGCCGTTAGTGACTCTGAGAAGGAACTAAGACCAGTTTTCTGGTGATATGTTAAATGAAAACTCTTGAGTTAAATTTATAAGACAAATACACCAGGCACAGTTAGTCTGGCTGTTTATTTCATGAAATAATTTGTTTAGATGTGTTTTGGCTGCATGTTACCCACAAAACATAGATCATATGTGTTTATTACCAGTTAGAGTTGATTCGTATTTTGAAGTCATGTGTAGAATTTTGCAGTCTCATATGTTAGCAGACTTGCTACGCTTATCTAATACATGCAAGGCTCTCATAGCATTATCACTTGCTGAAAATAGGTATTTTATCTTGCTTTACGGCAGTAGACATTACACAGCATCTGCAGTGCTCTTAGAACTCTCAGCAATAGAGTGTCCCCAGATGCATCCAGAGTCTTACCTTATTTCCTAAGAAAATAATGGGAGTTACGGTTCTTAAAACATGAATTGATATAAAACTAAAGCATTCTAAATCTAGAGTACAATTAGCAGTTACTGATGAACTTCTTTCCCATTAGTATCAGAAAAAAATAGATGAGAGTAAATACCTGGAGAATTTTGGGAGAACTGTGGCATTCATCCATCTTTTTTTAAAGCTTCTTATTGAAATGTACATACAGAAAAATACACACATTATAAATGTACAATTCAGTGGATTTTCTCAAAATGAACATGCCTGTGTAGCCAGCACCCAGATTAAGAAATGAAACATTTATTCATACTACTATTGATGGGTATTTGGGTTTCCATTTGAGACCTATTAGATTTAGTGCTGCCATGAATGTTCTTGTACATATTTTTTCGGTGAACTTAGCACATATCTCTGTTGGGTGTATACCTGGGAGTGGAATGGTTGGGTCTAGGATATCTGTATATTGCCAGTTTTTCAATGTGTTTGAGCCACTTCAGACTCCACTAGCAGTGTATGGCTTCCAGTTGTTTCATATCCTAACCAGCACTTGATCTTGGCTTTTTCATCCCCGTCATTCTAATGGATATATCTCACTGTGGTTTGAATTTACATTTCCTGATGATTATTGAGATTGAGCACCTTTCATTTGCTTATTGGCCATTTGGATATCCTCTTATAAAGTCCAGATTCATGTCTTTTGCACTGTCTTTGTAAACTTTTTCCCTTTAACTTTTAAAAATAAATAGTTTGCTTATATAAACATTTTCATTCAGAGAGCTAGCTATTTTCCCCCCATTGACTCTACTGCAGTGAAAAACATCTTAGAGATCTGCTGATATATGTATAAAACCAAAATAGCTTTGGCCCACAAGATTACCTTCTAGATAACTTTATAAACAAGAGGGAACCTTGCATGGAATGTTCTTTTCAGGCCATTTAACCTATCAACATTTATTATCAGTACAAAAGAAAAGTAGTAATAAACAGATGTACTTTTTAAAAAATTAGTGTTTGGAATAGACTTTTGCCTTTTTGGTTTTATGAATTTGTTTTGTGAATTCTGACTGGAAACAGTATCAGCTGCTAATTGGTAATATGTTAGTAATTAGAAGAGTTTATTTAGAAAAAGAAAGTAGCTTAAATTTGTCCTTTTAAATAATTTTTATCCATACAGTTGTTGAGGTTTTTTTCCTGCTTACAAGTAATATATGGTTGTGGTCAAAAATTCAGAAGTTATAGAAATTGAAAGTCTCCCATAACCTCACCTCCTAGAGATAATTTTTTGGTTTGAATTCATCCAGATTTTCTTCTTTGAATTTGCTAACATATTTCACAAATGATATACTCTACGTACTGTTTTGCCACTTGCTTGTTTAACCTAACAATAATTGTTGTTACTGAATTTTTAGGAGTTTTTAAAAAATAATTATCTATGATAATTAGATACCCATTATTGACAATAAGAATGCCTTGTTGAATAGATAAAAAATAAAAAGTAGGGGCCTCCCGGTGGCACAGCGGTTAAGTTCTTACGTTCTGCTTCGGCAACCCAGCGTTCACTGGTTCGGATCCCGGGTGTGGACATGGCACCGCTTGGCAAGTCATGCTGTGGCAGGCATCCCACATATAAAGTAGAAGAAGATGGGCACGGATGTGAGCTCAGGGCCAGTCTTCCTCAGCAAAAAGAGGAGGATTGGCAGCAGATGGTAGCTCAGGGCTACTCTTCCTCAAAAGGAAATAAACGTAATTAGTATATCAATTTTATTACCTTTACTTATAGATCTTTAAAATGGTACATTTTCTGGCAGATTCAGTATGCATCTTTTAATTTACCTAACAGAGTATTTTCCTAGTACACAGAAGAATTCCAACTAAGGAAGATCTAAATTAATGGAGTTTATAAGCAGGTTGAAAGTGGCTTGATTTTTAAGCAGTTCTTTTTATATTTAAGTCATCCTAACCATGGAAATTCCCCTACTGAGTTGGTAATTCCCCTCTGTTCTTCTTGAGAACTTCTCTGGATTGAGCCTGCACTTTGCACTTGGATAGGATGATGCCTGCTGATCATTTCCGGCCGCTGGGGTGGCTGTCAGACGAAGGCTGTGCCTGCTCTGCAGAGAACTTGCGTATCTCACTGGTCGTCCAAGGGTTGTGCTTGTTTTCTAGTTCAGTGCTCGGCATCATGGGAATGTCATCAGATCTTTCCTAAAAGCGAATATCCCGTCTCTGGAAATCTCCAGGTGGTTTTTTTTTTTTAAGCAGTGAGACTAATTTAAAAGTATATACTATTAGTCTTTTCAAACAGTGTTTTACAAAGTAAAATAAAGTCCAAGGTATTCTGTTTTGTGGAGTAGTATAACATCTAATGTACAAACAAAATCTTCATTTTTCCTCTAATCTAGAAGCAACTCTTCGGATAAATTATTATTTTGAAATGAGAATAATTGAGCTACATTTTCCCCATCTAGATTTAAAAGACTATAAAATAATGTTGTTGCTAAATATTAAAGAAGATAAATTCCTTTTTTTTAATTGAGTTCATAATAGTTTACATCAATGTGAGATTTCAGTTGTACATTATTTCTTGACTGTCACCATGTAAGTGCTCCCCTTCTCCCCCAGGGCTCCCCACCCCCTTCCCCTGGTAACCACTGAACTGTTTTCTTTGTCCCAGTACTTGTTTATATTCCACACATGAGTGAAATCATCTGGTGTTTGTCTTTCTTGGACTGGCTTATTTCGCTTAGCATAATTCCCTCTAGATCCTTCCATGTTATCGCAAATGGGATGAATTTGTCTTTTTTTCTGGCTGAGTAGTATTTCATTGTGTGTGTGTGTGTGTGTGTGTGTGTATATATATATATACACACACACACACACATATATATATACACACCACATAAAGAAGATAAATTCTTTTAATACCTTTATTGTAACTGTTGTTGGTAAAATCGGTGTGGTCTTGTGGGGTTGATTGTCTTGTGTTTCTTGTACTAAAGCAGGACTTTGCTGGTTGAAGATCACCTTCCAGTTTTGTGAAATATTTCACCCAAACGTGCTTTTCTGTTCCCGTGGTACCAGATTGAAGTTTCTCTGTGCATGATAGGGTTGGCAGCCTCAGGAACAGAAAGTAGACGTTCTTGTCTGGAGGCTTTTCTGTGACTGAACCAGCATCATGTAATAGATGTTCTTAATAAGAAGTAGTGAATGGGAGCAGGTTTAATATAGGCATCACTTTGCAAAGCGGGAAGATGCTGTGGTGTGTGTTGCTACTCTAAATGTAAAGTACTAGTTTTAATAGCTAATCAAATCATTATAGGATAAATTATTTTATTCTGGGCCCCCAAAGTGATTCGAAATAATCTAGCTATTCGATGAGCTTTGGAAACACTTGGATCCTAAAGAACGTAAACGTAAATGTCTCATTCCCCTCTCCTTCCATGGGTAGTGTGGGCAACCCAAATAAAGTGACTGTCAACCTGTGGTTGGTAGATGTTTCCACTAATTGTTTGGGAAAACAAAATTGTTTCCATTTGTTCTTCTGGAAACAAAGAAATAGAGCTATAGTTCTTCAAACTGTTTGTATAATGGTCAAATTACTTTTTTGTTTTTTAAACAATCTTGTTTCCTGAGCTGAGAACTCATTACCAGACTTACCCTGCAGTATGTTTATGTCTGCTAAATTAAACCAAATCAAAACAAAACAACAACCAAAAAAGCCCGCCATAACCTGCATGTAGGTTTTTAGCGGTAAGGAGCTACTGGTAACAGATGCTTAGCCATTGTTGTGTGAGCAGCTTTGTTGGAATAAACATAAACAAGAGTTGCACTGGGGGAGCTACTGGAACTGATTGATCAGACTTTAAGGAGAGTCATTATACTTTAAGCAGCATGACTATTTAGGGAGTATCTGTTCAAGATATTGGAAAGCTCACAGTGTGTTGTGTGGTGGTTAAGGGGGTTATGAGGCTGCTGCTGCTCCCTAATACCAGATTTTATAGCTATCTTTCAGTTTAGTTAGGGTGTCTTTCTGTTGATGTCTTATGCACTAGCTATTGTTTAAACTTGTTCCCTCTCTTTATATAGGAGGAGGGGAAAACCAGCCTGCTAGATTGAAACAAAACCTTGTGAAGGAGATTTAACCCCTTGCTTAGGAATGTAGGGATTTATAATTAAACGGATTCATTTGTCATTAGGGTCTTGGACCAGTATTGGCAAGTATATCACTGACTTTCACATGTCTTTTATGGATATATGTAATTAGTTAGGTTTATTCTCTATTCCTTGTGTTTATAAACTGTGTGAAAGAATCAAGTACTGCTTATAGAACATCGTTACTTGAGATCTGACTTTGTAAGTGCAGTTTTCTCTGTGTTTTGAACTGAGGAAGGCATTAAGTGGGATCCTTGGAAGTCAGAGAGAACAAATTCAATGTGAGCCTAATCAGAGTCCCACCATGTTTTGAAGGGCGGTTCGTTTGTTCGGCTGTGGAGTGGGAGTTGTTTTTGTTCTTTGGGGGCTCTCTGAAGTGAAATGGATGCTCTTAGAGTGTCAGTATTTGTCTTTCTTGTTTCCTTTAGGTTAATGTTTGAAAGTTATTAATCAGGTTGAGTAAGATGGGTATCCTGCCCTAGAGGTTTTCCTGTTTAGTGGAAAAGCTGAGATTTATAAAGTCACACCAAAATGAAATAAAGTGATAATGAAAAGCCTTGGGCAGACTGGCTCTATAATATTTCTTAGGCTATTTGTGCAGGTTGGTTTGTTTAATTATTATTATTATTTTTGTTATTGTCAGAATTGTCGTTTCTAATAGTAGGATCCCTCACACCATTTAAATCAAATCTTGCTTGCTACCATAGAAAATGGGCTCAGAATATCTTCTTAAAGTCCAAACCATTCCTTTAAAGACTAACAGATGTTTGCCCTCCTTTCCAGTCAGTGAAAGATGAACTCTTACTAGTTCCTTTCCTCTTTGCTTTTAAACATGGCATTAAGTAAAAGTAGATTTGCATCCTTTTGGGGTTTTGACCAAAGTACACACCCATCCCCTTCCTGCCTCCCTGGAACTGGTTCAAGATTTGGAGAGAAGGGTTTGTTTGGGGGCGTTTCCCTTGTCTTATCTCTGTGTGAGCATATGCTAGGGTTGAATTTATTTTGACCCTTTCGTTTTAAATTTGGAACCAAAGCAAGAGTTTAAAGTACAACAGAAGAAGAGAGCCTGCTGAACTTGAGACATGAGGGACCCAGGGAGGAAGGTGCGTACATGCATTCAAGCTTTCCCGCAGAGCCTGGCCATCTTTATTCGTATACTCAATTATAAGCTAATAATTACTAGATGAAGGGAAAATATTTAAAACTATATAAAGATGTGTGTGACATTTATATTATGTGCTTAAGTTTACAGCCGTGCCTCTAGTATCCACAATTTGAAATTGATGGCAGAACAAGTAAATTCTGAATTTTTATTTGAAAGCTTTTTGGAAAAGCTTTGGAGGATGGATATTTGCAAGCAAAAAATGTATCATTTGTGATTGATCTTTAAGGGAATGACTGAGAAAGTATATAGATATTTTAGGCATTAATATTATTTTGTCTTCTAAAGCATCAAATAAAGAGAACTATAAAGAGTTGTTATTAGATAAAGGTTACCCAGATTCTCCTTAAGGTTGAGAAGCAAATCTGTCTTCATTGATTATTATTTATCTTTGTCCGTTAATTTTGAGCACAGTACCTTGCATGTGTAGTTGACTTCTTTCTGGACTGATCTTTTCCAGAGCCTGGCCCAACTAGAGAATCTGTGCAAACAGCTGTATGAAACAACAGACACAGCCACTCGACTCCAGGCAGAGAAAGCCTTGGTCGAATTCACCAACAGCCCCGACTGCCTGAGCAAGTGCCAGCTACTCCTCGAAAGAGGAAGTGTACGTAAGATTTGAAAACCCTGAAGGATAACAGAGGCTTAGGAAAATGTATTCTGGTTCTAAGTTTAGGGGTGGACTGGGATTGGTTCTTGGTTCCTCTAGGTGCCTCTGCCATCTTAATTTCACTTTTAAAAAAGCACCATACCTGGGAGGTTGGCAAAAAATACCTACAGCCTCAGCAGGAAAATCTTGTTGAACATACATTTTGTCCTGTCATTTTTCATCTTGAATCACACTTCTGGGACTCTTTCTCTGTTCTACACTTAAGTACCACTTCATATCCTTCGCACAGAAGACAGGGCTGTATGTAAATGACTTCTTATCCACAAAGTCCGTGTCACCCTACAAGATCTCCAGTCTTCTCTGTTTTTCCCCCTCTGTACCACAGCTGCTTCTTAGTGCCTTAGAAATGTAGGGTAAAAATGATCTTGACAATGAAATTAAAGGAAGTATAGTTTTAGAAATGGAATTAGAGTCTCTTCTAGCTTAAAAATGGCAATGCAGTGATCAAAATAATGTTTTTAATGAGGCATAATTTGATTAAATTAATATTTTGGCAAGATGGGGGTGTTAGGAAGGGTAAGACTCCAACCAGGGTATCATGACAGGGCACCGAGAGAGTCAGAATCGCGACTAGACTAGCAGCTAACACCGTGCTGAGCTCTGGAGGGACGTGTGGAAAGAACAGCAGTTCTTTGCTGAGAGGGTGGAGTTGTAGATGGCTCCACTGTTAAGTCTTCATTAGTAGTGTTATGCTGTTTATGGAGTAAATAGAACAGATTACACTTGGCTCAAAATTGCCGCTTAGTAGCTGAGGGAGCTAACGCTTCTCCCAGGCATCTGAAGGTTACAGAGTCACGGCCAGAGATTGTATGCTGCTCTGTTTGTTTTCGCACGTAGTTGGTATATTTCTTTTCAATCACTCGGTCTTAGAATTGATCCACTTACGTTTGTGCTTTCAGAGATAGACCACTAGCTCTTCCAGTGGATTCCCACTGGAGCCCCACTATCATCCCTGACTGTTAACTCCACTTCCTCATGTTGACAGTCAGCAGGCTGGAATAAAATAGGATTGGTGCAATACTAAAAACACTCAATTATAGTAGGTTCTTCCCTTTTAATCTCTGTTGACTTCTTAGTGACTTAACAGATTTATTGGAATTATGTGTAAAAACTATGCATTATATATTGTATAGTTATACACTATGTTATATATGTATAGTCCTTCTTGCATTATTTGTGATTTGACTTACCTGCTGTAATCAGTTTAAACCATGTTCAGGGGTGTTGAATAAAAATTACATGTCAAATCACTTTCATAGATTTTTTCTTAAGCTTAATTTTTTTTTTATGAGATTGGCACCTGAGCTAACATCTGTTGCCAGTCTTCCTTTTTTTTCTCCTCTTCTTCTCCCCCCAAAAGTCACCTAGTATATAGTTGTATATTCTAGTTGGAGGTCCTTCTAGTTGTGCTGTATGGGACACCAACTCAGCATGGCTTGATGAGCGGTGCCATATCCACGCCCAGGATCAAAACCGGTGAAACCCTGGGCCGCCAAAGTGGAGCAAGTGAACTCAACCACTCAGCCACGAGGCAGGCCCCTAAGCTTAAATTTTTTTTATAACTGGTCGCATTACATAATGCCTATGGATAGGCCTACTGTCTTAAGGATTTATAGTTTGATGGAAGATTATCCTTGACCCTTGATTAAATTACTTTGATGGTTCTGAATCTCTCCCTGTTATATGACATGATATAATATAGCCACACAGAAGAATTCCCACACAGCACCTTCTTATACATTATGATCAGATAGAGAACTCTGATTCTCTGTAAGGTTAAAATTCATTAAAATCAACACTTGAGAATATGATAATGCTATTTCATTGCTTAGGGCATAATTTTCCTTTCTCATAAGTAATTGTTATGAATTTACTTTAAAACTGGCATATGTGTTCCCCAAAGCTGTAGCTGACTGATAGCTGTGCTGATGGAAAGATACAGTTTGGGCATTAACTATACAGTGTAATGTGATGGTTCCCTCTAATACTTCCTTTCTTATTTTTACTACTATACTATAGGAATTCTGAGGTAAAACTTTTTGAAACATCATTGTAACAAGGCTATTGAAGGGAGAAGATTTCTTGGTTTAAATGACAGAAGAGATCTGTCTTCTAGAGATCCTAATGTCTTTCTGAAAAGATCCCTTCTGGCGTCTGCCCCCTCAAAGTGATGCAGATGTCTGTATTGGATTTTGTTTGATCAGGCCATTGACTTTATCCTGCCCCTGTTCATGATTGAAATCAGTTAAATGAGCACATATGCTATGTGGGACTCATTTTTCCTTAGAATGATAGATCCCCTAAAATCTGGAGGATCACATATAGCAAAACTGGTTACTTTTTCTTGAATCTGAGCACAGATTTCCAAGTGAAAAATCTTATGACTGAGTAACTCAGTAAAATTGAATTCTAAGACCTTTACCCCCTCTTTTCACAGTCATCTTACTCCCAGTTACTGGCAGCTACTTGCCTTACAAAGCTTGTATCACGCACAAACAACCCTCTACCATTGGAACAACGGATAGATATTCGTAAGTAGAGAATTGTCTGTTCTCTCGTAAAGAAATTAGTTTGTCTAATGATTTGCTAGTAATAGTTAAGTTTATGTTGCTTGTTTGATAACATTTTAAAATTGCTAAGCCTATAGAATATCTAGAATCCGGTTTTTTCCAGAATTTTGGGCTTATGAAAGTCAAGAGGGCCCAATCTAATTGCTTCCAGATAAAGCCTGAGTCATTCCTTTTGTCTTCAGGAGGTTTCTTTCATTCAGTCTTTACTGTCACTAGGAACTTAAGAAAAACATTGTAAGGATTATTAATTCTGTGTAGACCATGTTAGTTAACTCTAGGAGTAGATTCAACGCCATACTTCAGAGTCTTCATTGTGATAAGTATAAAATTCTGAGTTGGAAAGCCTACTAATCTTGAATTCAAAGTCCTTTTTCTCAGTAGCGTGAGGAATTAAGGGAGTTTGGGGTAAATAGTCTAAATTTACCATGTCTTGGACAGTGGCACATTTAAAGACGTACACCCTTCCCTAGCAGAGCTTTCTACTATGTGGGGTATTTTTGTTTTATAGGGAACTATGTGCTCAACTACCTTGCCACTCGGCCAAAGTTGGCTACTTTTGTGACACAAGCACTTATTCAGTTATATGCCAGAATCACAAAACTGGGCTGGTTTGACTGTCAGAAGGATGACTATGTCTTCAGAAATGCAATCACAGACGTCACAAGGTTTTTACAGGTATGATGTACATATTTGAGGTAATAGGAGTGAGAGAAGCAACATATATATACTTATATACTGATCTACCTTTTAAAAATTACACCAAGTGGAATTATTTGGTACATTATCTTCCATCTTTTTTATCCTTACTGTGTCTTGGCTTTACATGTTTACATGCCAGCACATGAAACCCTGCTTTCCTTCTTTCTAATGCCTAGACTGTTGCAGTCTAAAATTCTGTAATGTCACCAATCCCTTGTAATAAAGGTGGGCATTTCGTTTGTTCCTGTACTTTAGATGGTAAATACTTCAGTGAACATCCTAGTATATAATCCTATCATACTTTGAATAAGTGTGTTTGTAGGTGAATTCCAGATCTTGGGATTATTCAGTCAAAAGGATGGGTGCGTTTTTGGCTTTCAAGGATACTACCAAATTACCCTCAAACAAAAATCCAACAATTAAAAAGAATTCCTCTTTCCCTGTACCTCCATCCTGGGAGCTCAGCTTTTTAATTTTTCTAATTTAATCAGTAAAAAGAATTGGCGTCTCAGCATCTGAGTAACACATGAGATGGAACAAATTTCCATATGTTAAATTCACTACTTATTTTTGTTTTTCTGTGAACTTCCTATTTATGTCTTGTGTCCTTTTTTATTGGCTTCTTTGCCTTTTTCTTATTGTTGTATATAGTCTCTTTATAAATTATGTTATGCATTCATTTGTCATTTATCTTAAATGTGATTTGCCAGTTTCTCCTTTTATCATGTATATAGTATAGTACTTATGGGTATTTTTAAAATACAAAAGGTTTCCATTGTGATGAAGTCGGATTTAGCAGCCTACCTTTATGGCAGTTAGGTTTTATGTCCTGCATAACAACGGCTTTTTAAACTGTAATTCCTTGCTACCTTCTCTAGGCAGTTTTTTTGCAGAGGGAGACTCACCCTCAGCTGACATCCACTGCCAGTCTTCCTCTTGTTCTATGTGAGCCACCACTATAGCATGGCTACTGACAGACCAGTAGTGTAGGTCCATGCCTGGGGAACCGAACCCGGGACCCCAAAGCAGAACGTGCCAAACTTAACCACCAGGCCACCAGGGCTGGCCCAAGGCAGTTTTAATAGAGACACAGGATTCTGTCATTTTAAAAGCATGACTGCATTCCAGGGGCCAGCCCCATGGCATAGTGGTTAAGTTTGGCACACTCTGCTTCAGTGGCCCAGGTTCACGGGTTTGGATCCTGGGTGCGGACCTCCACCACTCATCAGCCATGCTGTGGCAGTGACCCACATTAAAATAGAGGAAGATTGGCAGAGATGTTAGCTCAGGGCTAATCTTCCTCAAGCAAAATAAAGAGGAAGATTGGCAACAAATATTAGCTCGGGGCAAATCTTCCTCACAAAAAGGAAAAGTATGACTGCATTCCACGTGCTGAAATCATCCTGCACACACCAACTCTTTCTGCCTTACGTGTTTTTACCAGGATAGTGTTGAATACTGCATCATTGGCGTCACAATTTTATCTCAGCTAACCAATGAAATTAATCAAGTAAGTGCTACAGCCTTCCTCCTTGAAGTAAGTGCCATATTTTTTCTTAGTATTGGTGTTTTCTGCTGTGTGTGGGATGATCTTTTTTGGCAGTTGTGTGCTTTTGCGGTAAGTGATTAATGCTCTTTTGAAACAAAATAGTTCCATTGGGTTTTCCTCTGTAACAGCAGTCTACCTGACTCTTATTGTCCTCATCCCCTTCTGTCTCCAGAATATTTTATCCTCCCATCTCAGCTTTCCTCACTGTTAACGTTCATTGTTAGAGATGAGAGCAGTGGTCATAAGTCAAAACTTTAAAGAAATAATTGCTTTGCCAGTGAAAGAGAATGAGTCCAAAAAAGGAATCATGAAAGTGGGACCAGCATCATTTATGTGCCCCTTCTGCGTATATTAATATATGTTTATAATCACTTAAAAAATCAGTTTTCATTTGCTATTATGAAAGAGTTTGCTGGTGATCTTTTCAGAATGCATAAAGCATTCTACTAAATAGCAAATAGTTTTTTAAATAGTGATCAATGTCACAGATTACTACAGAGGAAATACCAGTGGCTTTCTTTTGCTCTGGCTATTATTTTTTTCAGTCATTTACTTTGTATCCAGCTAAAATTTTGTAATTATTCAACAGGCCAGTATTAATATTAGTTATAACATCTCACCCTTCAGTTATCAGCTGTTAATTACATTGGCATCACTGTTGCTATTGCTCGTATTTATGCAGACATTTTTATTAACCCTGAGAAATTTTAATTGTTGAGTTGCTACTATTTTAAATGAACTAGCTTATAGCCCATTAAAATCTGGATGCATATTGTGTTCTTTGTCACATGCAATCCCCACTGTGGTCAGTAGTTAGCAGAATAATAATGCGTATACTTTTGACTGATTGCTATGTGACAGGTACTGTTCTAAGCACTTTACTTATATTAACTAATATTATTCTCACAATATTTCTGTGAGATAGGTACTGTGGTTATCACATTTTTCCAGATAAGAAAACTGAAGCACATAAAGGTTAAATAATTTGCCAAAGGTGTCACAGTTAGCAAGCAACAGTATCTGAATTCAGACCCACGTAGGGTGATTCAGTGCTTGTGCTCTTAACAACTGCCTTATTATTTAACCACCACTGCCTTCGGAGTAGGAGAGCATGTATTAAACTAAGTTCAGAGATTGTGAGGTTAATGTTCTCCCCTTTGAAGCTTGGCCCCACAACATACATCAATGTTGGTATGAAAAAAAAGCTTTTCAAAATTTTGCTTATCATTCTTAAGAAAACAATAGAAATGTGTGTAACGTATTTAACATATAATTATTCTCTGTATTATGATCAGCATAACATTATATGTAATATATGTAATCTAGCAATACCTTATTATCCAAGATATTTATGATAACACAGTGACACTGAAGCTAGAATTGGGGAATATTTTTAATTTCTGTATAACTTAATTTCCTGTTAGTTTTTAGGTTGTCAAATTTAAATCAGGAAGTATATTTCTGTTAATATTTCTATTGAACTTAGAAGTAAAATCAAGGAGGGTCCATAACTTGGTTGTCTGTCAGAAATCTTGCTGCATTATTCTTTTCTTTAATGTGCCAGAAGCAAAGTGAGCTCCCTGTTAGATGAATTGGTTAGTATATAGAAGAAATTGAAGCTTTCAATAAGTGGTTAGACTAAAAATACCCTTAACGACCTTGAAATTCCTTTATTCCGCTTACTGAGTGCCTACTGTGTGTCAGGAATAGAGAGCATATTAAAGAAGTTAAAGACTTAGTCATTAACCACAAAAACCTTTAAAATTTGGCTGAAAAGACAAGAACAGAGGAATAAGTGAGAGACTGGTACGACCATCACTTCTGTGGTGTAGACTACATGTTGAAATGGGTTAGAGAAGGAAGAGAGTATTAATAGGCTGTTGTCACTTATCTTAAATTCATGGCTGTTGGCTCATGACCGTTTCAGGAATTCTGCAGTAACTTCAGCGCTGAGCCTGTTGTTTACCAAGACCTAAGCCGCGCTGATGTTTTTGAGGCTAGGCCTCAGTTCAGCATGATAATAGTTAGTGGCAATATCTGCCAACAGCTTTGTTAAATGTTACCTCCCTAAGTGCAGAGGAAATTAAAACTTTGTTAAAAAGAAGGAAAGATGCTCATTCCTCCTTCCATCTTCCCTCTGTAAGCTACAGAGATGTGATATTCTGGCTAGCTATTAGTAACTTATTGTCCTTTGCATCCTCTCACTGTATATGATTTAACATTAATTTAAATGTTAAAAATGTATTTTGTGTTTATGTTGCTTTTATTGGAAATCCTTCTTGTTTATTTGAAGTCTCCATGAAATTTTTTTTTCTTTGCAATTAATTCTAAAACTTGCATTGATTTATTTTTCTGCACAGGCAGACACCACCCATCCTTTAACCAAGCACAGAAAAATAGCCTCTTCTTTCCGAGATTCATCGTTATTTGATATCTTCACACTTTCCTGTAATTTACTAAAACAGGTGAGATTGTAGGTTGAGTCTTGTTCCTAGTTCCTTTTGAAAGGATAAGAATGAGTGAACACTTGTTACATATCAGCTCTTAACTGACCCCATGAGAGTTTATGCACATCTTTAGTCATCATCCTTTTTCACATGATACCTGTATCCAGGATGTTGAAGAAACTTGGCAGACTGACCCCCAAAATTAGAGAAAGGATTGTGATTTCCCTATTTCAGATCTATTCCCCTAGGTAAAAAGCTAAGTGAACCACTTATCCCATGCTTCTATCTTAGAGGAATCTAGTTTACCACAAAGTTTGAGATTTTGTTGTTTACTTTTTTTATACCCACATAAAATCTTCCTATATGGAGTAAAAGCATGTGAGCTTTATGGTGTTTGGATTCTTCGAGTGCTCTGAAAGCAGGTTCAGACTACATTGTTAGCATACTAAAACTAGGCTGGCTCCCGTGTCCCCTGCTGAGTTAAAAGCAGGAAATAAACAAGTAACATCTGTAAGGAAAAGTAGAATTTTTAACATCCACTTCGATTTCATAACCTGAAGGGGTAGACAGTATCACATAAGGAAATTACCTGTTTTAAAATAGAAAGTTGGTGTTTCAATTCATTTATTGATAGAATTGAACAACTCTAACCTATGAGTTCTACACATTTATAACAATCTTTGGATCCTTTGTCCCTATAAAAAGCTAAATGGGATTAGCCTCTGGCTTTTTGTTCATTTGGGGAGTTTTGGGTTTTTTATTCTTGTTCTTGTTCTCATTTTCCATTATGTCCCAATTTTAGTTTCAGAAGCAAGTTTGGATTCTTTCTGTTGTCCCAGTTAATGATGTCCATCTTTTTCCTCAGTTACCTAGTTTTACCTCAAATTCCTAAACAGTCCTCCGATGGGCAAGCTGCCTAGCCAAAGCTATTGTACCCCTTTCGAGGGGAAAGCGTTTGAGAAGACTGGAGACAGAATCTTCCTCGCTGATACTGTCAAAACAGTTAGCCAGCCAGTCACTGAGGCCCTGGCTCATGTGAACTTTGAATCTGATAGTCACGGTAGCTACAGACCAGTATGGAACTGCAGGCAGGTGCACTGCTCATGAAGAAATAAAATTCACAGGTGGTTTTGTTTTAATTCTGGTTTGAAAGACTTTGTCGATGCTGGTGATAGTAATGTTAAAAAGAGGAAGGAAAGTAGGGCAGGGTGTAAACTTACTAAAACTCCTTCCCAGAGTTTAATCCTACCCCGTCTAGAAATAACTAGAATCTCACATGCAAGTGAAGTCACCACACATTCCATGTTGCTTCAGAATTCCCTGTAGCCACGATGTCTGCATGTAAAGTAAGTGTCAAAAGGGAGTTTCTTTTTTTTTTTTGAGGAAGATTAGCCCTGAGCTAACATCTGCTGCCGATCCTCCTCTTTTTGCTGAACAAGACTGGCCTTGAGCTAACATCATGCCCATCTTCCTCACTTTATATGTGGGATGCCTACCACAGCATAGCTTGCCAAGCGGTGCCATGTCTGCACCCAGGATCCAAACCAGCGAACCCCAGGCCTCAGAAGCAGAATGTGCGAACTTAACCGCTGCGCCACCAGGCCAGCCCCATGGGGAGTTTCTTTAAATACCAGCTTCATGTTTTTACAATAAATAGGTTTTGACAGTCAGTAAGGAGGTAGGATTTTTATAGTGCGTTAGGATGATAGAAGTGCAGCATCTTTGGAGGGGAACATCACTGCACTGTGCTGAAAGATAGCCCTCTTTCCAGTTAACAGCCTTCTCATGAGTCTTGGAGCGAGCTCAGAAGAGAGGAATGATTGTTTGGGACTCATTATGTGGTGATTTTTACAGGCTTCAGGAAAGAATCTAAACTTGAACGATGAAAGTCAGCATGGTTTGCTCATGCAACTGCTCAAACTCACTCATAACTGCCTAAACTTTGATTTCATCGGCACTTCTACTGATGAGTCCTCAGATGACCTGTGCACAGTGCAGATTCCCACGAGCTGGAGATCAGGTAACAGACCCGCACCATCTGAAACAGGCTGCTGCCCCGCTCTACACAGTGTCTGTAGAATGACTTAAAGAACTCCTGGCAGTCCCTTGCTTGCTGCAGGAGAAAATTGGGAATTTCAGCATCTGTCTTTATGAAGTGAGGGGGAAGTTGTTGGAGGAATCTTAGAGATCCCCCTAGTCTGGGAGAACTCTTTCAATTACTGGTTACTGACGGCGTGAATTTGACCTTCTTGTGTCAATCACCCAGAGACTTCACTGTCATGTTGTTCATTTGAGGTAATGTCTAGCTTTAAAACCAAAACCGAACAAAAGAATGTTTGCTTTTGTGTTCCTAAGGATAAAAATTCTTACCGTGACAGAGTTCTGATTGTCTTAAGTTCTCTGAGAATCAGAAGAATGCATGTCTCTTAGAGGAGCTGAAAACTAGTGCTTTAAAAAAAAGGAAAACAGAAAGCCCCTGTTAGCTTAACCACTTTCAGAGCAAACCAACCTTCTATAAGATAAGAAAGCAGAAAGATGTGCTCCCTAACGTGTAGTGCCGGGAGTGGTGTGCAGACGTGCTCAATATAAGTGCTCTGTTGTCTTTCTTTCAGCGTTCTTAGATTCTTCCACTCTGCAGCTGTTTTTTGACCTGTATCATTCCATCCCTCCTTCGTTTTCACCTCTGGTGAGTCAGAACCACAGTTTCTAAAGCAAACCTATTTATACAATGTGACAACAGTGAACGAGCCTTAAGTTCATTTTGTTATACAAGATCATAGAAGTACAGTATAGAAATCCTAGGGTTATTTATCTAGCCTTTTGAGATTAAGCTTGTAGCTTTTAAAGCTTCTCCCAATAAAGTCTTAACTTAATTTATTTTTAATTATTCCTGCCTAATGACAAATTGCTGCAGATGCCAAGTTCTTTTGGTCTCATCTTGTATCTGACTTTATACTATACCTCAAATTGCCACAGGCTAGAATGTAGGAATTCACCGTATATTGTCTAGTTGAAGATTGTCCTGACTGAGAAAGTTTGTGAAAATCTCTCATGCTTATGTTACATAAGTGATAAATGGGAGCTGTAGTGGGAAGGCAAATTTGCATACTTATCCTGAATTATAGTTGAAAGCTTTTGGGAGTGGTACATTTCCCTTTAAAGCAATGATTAACCACCTTAAATCTCAAAATTCATTCAGGTCCTAAAAGACGTTGATTTAGTATTTCAGGTTGTTGGTATAAAATACTGTTGTACAAAACATACAAAGAAAACACAGTAAAGTGATGGGTGTTTTGCATAGTGTTTCTGCAGTGGACTACTTTTCTGCTCATTGTAGTACTTTTCCAAATTAATGTGGACCTTTGCTTTTACAGAAACATAAATTCAGTGTTGTTTGTATCATTCAGTTTACTGCAGGAGAAAGGTTGTGCACTCAAGGGGGTAATTAATGAAAGGACTATTTGTAAAGATGTGGGCAAAATTAAGGGAATCCGACAAGGGTGGTGACGTACACCCCCTGGGGCTAGCAATCAGGGGAGCCTCACGGGGCAAGGGAAGGACACCCTGAAGCTGTGGCTGAGGGGAGAGCTGCACTGCAGAGGTAGAGAAACTCTGCCAACCATGGCCCAGGCCGGGCTGGAGAGGGGGCATGTCTTTCCTCCTGCCCTTCATCTCCTACTGGTACTTTCCAATGGTTGGAGCCAGCTAGAAGCAAGAAGGCAGGGGGGCTTGGCACTTGTTAGTTGACAGAGGTCAGGCTCCCAGGGAACAGACTAGGGTAGAGAAGGATAGAAAATAGACCTGGAGGGGCAAAGAGAATATGAATATCCAGCACAGTGCAGAAAGGGTAAAATGTGTTCAATATAAAAGCTGATTTTTCAGGGCACAGATCTGACTTAGTTATTTCATTATGACAGTACATAGCAAAGCCTGATTAGCCAAAAGGGCTTAATAAAACAGAAAAAAAGTAAATCTTAAGCTTTATTTAACCTATGAATTGCTTGATATTTTCTAACCTTAAATATGTATCTTAAAAGAATCAAAGAAGCCGTGGAGTGGTCAAAGAATAATACCTAAGTGAATTTCCAAACTGAATTGAACTCGTTGTGAGCAACTTGGATCTACTGCTCTTTTCTTTGTTCTTTTAATGAAGCTGTTTCAGATACCCTAAACTGTACCCTCTTTGATCTTTCTGTATCATTGTAATGGTAGCAGGTGTTAAAGAAGAATTAGCTACACATGTAAAGAAGAATATTCCAGGAGGGGAAAGGGTTGTGAAAATAGCTGTACCATCTTTTTTTCTTTTTAATATCTCTTTTATTTTATTTTTTTGGTGACAAAGATTAGCCCTGAGCTAACCTCTGTGCCACTCTTCCTCTATTTTATATTCGGGTCACTGTCTCAGCATGGCTGACAAGCAGTGTATGTCCATGCCCAAGATGCAAACCCATCAGCCCTGGCTGCCGAAGCGGAGCACGGGAACTTCACCACTTGGCCACAGGCCAGCCCCTGTACCATCTGATTAATCACTTGTGTTTGGGTTGCACCTGCTTTTAGGTATTATCCTGCTTAGTGCAGATTGCCTCCGTCAGAAGATCCCTGTTCAACAATGCAGAGAGGGCCAAGTTTCTCTCTCATCTTGTCGATGGCGTCAAACGAATACTGGAGAATCCACAGGTAAGATTTGAGAATTTATTTTCATTTGACTATATATATATGACTGTGTGTGTGTGTGTGATTAGTGTATGTGTATCTGTTATGAGTCAGAAGGAAATACATCTAGAGGCCACACTTAGCAGAAATCCCAGAAAACAGTTCAGTCTGTCATGCTTCAAAAGATTTAAGTGAATGTATATTTGTAGGAAAATTCTTGAGAATGTTTGCCTAAAAGAGGAACTTGTATCCTTTAGGTTCAGGAATGCAGGAGTTGTGGGAAAGGATCACTTTGATACAGGAAAATAAGAATAGAGCTAGTCATTTTCCCCCATGAAATTAAGAATCTAAAGTTTGGTTTTTGTTTCCATTTTTTTGAATGTACTTTATTTACCTAAGTGTATAGGGCTGCTTTTAGGTGGGAAGGTATGTATTTCTCATTCAAAAATTCATTCTAGGGGCCAGCCTGGTGGTGCTGTGGTTAAATTCACACACTCCACTTTGGTGGCCCAGGGTTCGCCAGTTCAGATCCCGGGCACATGCCTATGCACCACTTATTAAGCCATGCTGTGGCAGGCGTGCCACATGTAAAATAGAGGAAGATGGGCACGGATGTTAGCTCAGGGCCAGTCTTCCTCAGCAAAAAGAGGAGGATTGGCAACAGATGTTAGCTCAGGGTTAATCTTCCTCAAAAAAAATAGTCATTCTATAACTCGACTGCCCTTTTTGTCTTTTTCAGTCCCAGAGATTTAGCCAACAGCTCTTTTTTTTAAAGTATCACTTCTCTGCTCTAGGATATATCATAAAATCAGTTCAATTTGAAATATACTCAATTCTGTCCTTCCTTTTTAAAGTTCGTTTATTCATTCAACAAATTGTATGGAACGCCTTCCATGCACCAAGGATATGATGGTGAACAAAACAGTCTGCCCTCCTATGCTAATAGAGGAAGATATGTATAAGGCAACACTTAAATTTGCTGGTATAATATGCAAACAAATCAAAAGTGTTTGCTATAAGTATATAATATATAAGCATACTAATATAGAAATAAATAAATTTATTATAGCAGTGATGATATAATATAGATATATGAAACATTTGTGTAACTTTGCCACTGTAGTTTAGTTGTGCTGAATGGTAAATTTGATAGGTATTCTCTTTCCTTTGATTGGTGGAAGGCAAACAGACCAGTCACACCTTAGACCGCACCTCTTCTCTGCTGGTAATCAGGTTTGCAACCTTAAGCAAATAGTGTGATCCTTCTGGACTTCTGTTTCAGACTCTTTCAGTTGAGGCTAATAATCCCATCTCACGGGATGATGATTATTATGAACAGGTGAGATGATAGATGGGCCCGTCTCTTTTAAAAGTGACTTTTAAAAAAATTGTTTTTAAACATTATGCAGATGTGTCATCCTGAATGATGACCTACAGCTCAGAAGTTAACGTAGACTCCCCCCTCCCCTCATCCCATCCCAGATGTCATTCTGGAAGTATAGTGAGTCACATTTTACATTTTATTTCCCTCCTGTGCTGTCACCAGAGTTTATCAGACCCAAACAATTACCATGAGTTTTGCAGACTACTGGCCCGACTGAAGAGTAACTATCAACTGGGAGAATTAGTAAAGGTGGAAAACTACCCTGAGGTCATCCGATTAATAGCTAACTTCACAGTGACCAGCCTACAGGTTTGTCTTTGATTGCTTGTCTCTTTCTTCTAAACATTGGAACCTCTTCTTTTGCTCATTGCTTTTAACCTTATAAGAATATTCTGGTTTTTTTCCTCTTGGCAAAGGTGAATATAAGTGTGGGTTAACCCTGCAGAGTAGTTACTATTGCAGCCTACTTTTTTGTATTTCAGAAGTGCAAGGAGTATGGTTAGAGGAACACATGGGAATTGCAAGGATAATATTTAGATTCGGGACAGAGAGAATCCACTCATAATCACCTCAGAAAAGGCAAGAGTGGAACAGAGAGCTATACAGAAAAGAGAAACTTGTGCCCTCTTTTTCTTAGTCATGTAGTATAGGCCAGTGGTTCTCAAATTTTATGGCTTGCATCAGAATCGTCTGGAGAACTTGATGAGAAATACAGATGCTCAGGTCTTAACTCCATAATTTCTGGTTCATTAGGTCCAGGGTGGAGCCTTGGCGTCTCTATTTTTAACAAGTACTCCAGGTGATTCTCGTACATAATGTTTGAGAACGACTTTCACAAGGCTTTCCTTGTGAAAAGGTTTACACAACCAACGTAGAACAGCTCTTCTCATTCGATGCTTCATCTCTGAAATGCTAATAAACACGTTAGACTACTTGCCAGACATAGAACAAAGCTCATAAAAGTTTTATCTTTTTTTTAAAAAAAAAGTCTTTTTTGTGTGTCAAGTGGCATGGGACTAATGTATTGTGTACAAAAATGAGAAATATGCCTCCTACTCTTTTGGTTTTCCTTAGCACTGGGAATTTGCCCCAAATAGTGTGCATTATCTCCTGAGCCTTTGGCAGCGGCTGGCAGCCTCTGTGCCCTATGTGAAAGCCACAGAGCCCCATATGCTGGAAACTTACACTCCTGAGGTCACGAAAGCCTACATCACATCCCGTTTGGAATCTGTGCACATCATACTGAGGTACGGAAACTGGGACAGCCTCCCTCGTTCCCCGACCTGTACCCTGATGTCAGACTTGCCAGAAATCAGACCCGACTGGCAAAAGCATACTTGATATGAGTCTTACTGGAGCTAATACTGTTACTGGTCATTTTTTCATATCAGCAGAATAGCATATGAGAGCATAAAAAGTATGAAAAAATAGTCTTTCCCTTTAACATCCTGTTCGTGTCTCCCTTTATTATTGTCTGTAGCAGTATCTTTGAATACAAAGTGTATCAGTATAATGTTTGTCCTTGCCACTGATTTTCTGTAAACATGCGGGAAACATTTGTAGGCTATAGATGATGAGAATTATAATGTGTAAGTTATAGCTGCTTATTGTGAACTCCTAAAGAAATAAGTGGATAAATAAGATTACGCAATCTAGAGCTTACTAGAAGATGTAAGAATTGTAGGCAGCTGATCACTGATAACATTATATTCACACATGGTTTGTATCTATCTAGACTGTTAACTGGAGCAGAAACCTATAGCTAAGAAAAATGTCAGACCCTTTTAAAAATGACCCATATAAAATGAAATTATTCTTTATTTGGGGACCTTTCTTGTTTGGTGGGGTTTTTTTTGTTTAAACAATAAATATGTATTTTCTCACCATTCTGGCTGGAAGTCTAAGACCAGGGTGCTGTTGGGCTTGGTTTCTGGTGAGGCCTCTGTCCTTGGTTTGCAGACGGCCACCTCCTCACTGTGTCCTCACACAGCCTTTTCTCTGTGTGCATACAGAGAGGGATTTCTCTGTTGTTTCTTCTTATGAAGACACCAGTCCTGTTGGATTAGGACCCCACCCTTACGACTTCATTTAACCTTTTTTTTATTATTATTGAGGTATAATTGACATGTCACATTAGTTTCACGTGTATAATATAATGATTTGGTATTTGTATATATTACAAAACCACAGTAGATCTAGTTAACATTTGTCACCGTATGTAGTTACAAAAATTTTTTTTTCTTGTACGAGAACTTTTAAGATCTACATGTATATTCTTTTATTGGCTGTTTCTGAGGCGAATTTACTTGGACTCTGAAGGTCTGGGGCTTTTTTAAGTCAGATTCTTAATTTGCTCAGTCAAGTGTGTTTGTCATAAGAGTTATAGTCTCAACTGTTTATGACCTGAATCATTTCGAAGTCTTGAGTATTTGTGAAGCCCACTGGAATTGTTCTATTAGCCGCATCGTTTCTGTTCCTGAGGATTCAGCTGGTTTCAGTGAGGCTGTGTTGGGGAATGATTGCATGTGTGGGCTCTGGGCCCAGAGAGACAATTAATAGCTATGTACTCTTGAGCAAGGTTACTATGAGGATTAACTTACTCTGCCCTGGCCCAGTGTGTGGACCATGGTAAACACACAACTGTGAACTGCTAGTGTAGTGATGGTGCTGCTGCTGCTGGATTGTCATACTATGATGTAACAGTAGACAGAGAGCTTGTAATATGACAGGATTTTTAAATCCAGGAACCAGTAGGTAAGGCAAGACCTGGTATAGATCCACAGTGCCTCAACTGCAATTCTGAAATCCAAGATGTGAAGACTAAATTTTCTCATCAGTTTGGCACCAAAACTCATTGGGTGGCAAAACTTGACGTGTGCTGATGCGAGACTACATATAGTCTTATTTTAAAACTCTGCTTAGTATGACTCCTGATAATATTTGTACATTTTGCTATAGGAATATTGTATTTGACATGCTGCAGAGCCCACTGAGGGTTCATATTACATCGTAGACGCATCACATTGCTTCCCTAAAATTTGAAGATTTCTGAATTCCAAAATGTATTGGGTCACAGAGGCCTCACACAAGGGACAGGATACTTCTAGTCCCAAAGTTTACTATAGTCAAGAGCAGGAGAGATGCTAAGAACCAAGAGTACCTAGGGGTGAGAAACATGGGACTGAGAGGATCGAAGCAGACAAATGATAAAGGACTGGGGAATTCAGATTGAAAGATTGGAGACCAAAAAGCAGAATATACGTAGGGGAGGCTAATGCTAGGGTGAAGGCATCTGCCTTCCAACTTTTTTTATATTCCTTCCTTGATAAAACAGTAGTGTTGGGATGTGGGCATTTACAGTTGGAACTAGTGGCTAAATGAAGAAGAAAGAGAGCTGCTGCAGTGGGGAAATGAGTAGGCATGTTTTAAGAGAGCTGCCTTCCTTCTTTCTTTGGGAGTAGAGATGGACTGGAGGACCCTCTGGAGGATACAGGTCTGGTCCAGCAGCAGTTGGACCAGCTGTCTACTATCGGGCGTTGTGAATACGAGAAGACATGTGCGCTCCTCGTGCAGCTGTTTGACCAGTCAGCCCAGTCCTATCAGGAGCTGCTGCAGAGCGCCAGTGCAAGCCCCATGGATATTGCAGTGCAGGAGGGTGAGTGGACAGTGGGCGGGGCCGGAAGGAAGTGCTGTCAGTGCCCTTTTACTCATTACCCCCTCTTTTCCACCTTCCCCCTAAAAGGATTCTGCCTTCATCCATTACCTCCATGTACACAGAGTAGTATTTGTGAATAAATGCCACAGGGAACTAGAGAAGAGGAAGTGAAGTCCTGTCTGCAGTGGGTATATGTAACTTTAAGAAAGGTGTGCACTCTGAAAATAATGACCTCATCTGATAGGAGAACCTTGGTTATCTAATGAATTTCCCCCTTGGCATCACCCTACCAGAGCAGAGTAGTAGCTACACTCTGTAAGAAGAGTAGGACTTTATGTCTTCTCTATGGTGTTCCTAGGATTAAGGAAACTCATAGTAGGAAATGAACCTCAGAGCAAGGAATTTCCTCATGAAATTATTACTGGAGGTGACACTAATGGGTCTTCTTCCTGTTGCAGGAAGGCTGACATGGCTGGTTTACATCATTGGTGCAGTGATTGGTGGCCGTGTCTCTTTTGCCAGCACTGATGAGCAGGATGCTATGGATGGCGAGCTTGTCTGTCGGTAAGTGCTTCCACAGAGGCTTCCCATTTCACTCCTGTGACTCGCCCACCCCCTTTTTGGTCCTTAGGCCATGGGAACTTGACATGCTTCTGTTACTGCTTTCCTCCCCATTTATAGAACATAATCTCATGAAACTGATTGCCCATGAAAATGAAGGACTGGTACAGGTCCAACTTCAAACCTTTTATAAGTACAGCAAGAATTCTGCCTACAGTCTTTACTAAAAAACCATTGCAGTGATGCAGCAAGGAAATGCTGGATACAGAATTAGGAAAACCAAAATGGGGAGTAGTTTTCAGTTCCGTTTAAGGACACTATCTCAGAGTTAATGAAATGTGGACTGTTTTACCATACCAGAGTAAGTCTGTTAGGAAACTGCGATTCTTCAAATATCCCCAAAGAAGGAATTACAGAGTTTCTACAGCCTTTCAGAACTGTCAACCGTACACTTTTCTACCTAAGGGACATCAGGTTATTTTGTATCTGTGTGAGTCTCATCTTACTAAAAATCTGTAAATGAGCATTTACTGGTTTCTAAGAATTTACCCAACATAGAAATAAAAGGGCAGGATTTTTTAATACCCTACAGCAGAGGTTCTCAAACCTTTTCATCAGGATTATTTCCCCTGTTAAAAAGTAGCGAGAGCCTCCAAAGAGCTTCTGTTTTTGTGAGATATATCTATTGGTATTTATCGTATTAGAAAGTAAAACTGAGAAATGTTTTAAATATTCATTTTTAAATCACAATAAGCCCATTACATGTCAACATAAATAATATATGTTTTTAAAGAACTAGTTTTCAAAAAATTAATGAGAAAAGTGGCTTTGTTTTAATGTCTGACATAGTAGAAGTCAGCTGGATTTTCATATCTGCTTCTGTGTTCAATCAGTCATGATATTACAGATTTTGTAGTCTCTAGAAAACTCCATCGTGAGAATGTGAGTGAAAGGGCAGATAATATTTTTGGTTTTTTTGGTTTTGTGAGGAAGATTGGCCCTAAGCTAACATCTGTGTCAATCTTCCTCTAGTTTGTATGTGGGTCGCCACCTCAGCATGGCCGCCGACGAGTGGTATAGGTCCATGCCTGGGAACCAAACCCAGACTGCTGAAGTGGAGCCTGCCAAAGTTAACCACTAGGCTATGGGGCCGGCCCTGAAAATGATCTTTTGACCTTGCAGAGAACTGCTACCCTAAAGAGTTCTAAACTTTCAGATGCTCTTCTTAGAGATCAACTCATTTTAACATGATGCCTTAGAATTTATTAGCCCCAGACATTTCTGTCTGTAATTCTTATTCTGATTCTGAAAATCCCCATTTGTCTCTTTCCACCCAGTTGGTTTATCAGATGCCCATCTGCCCTTAGGTGCCTTAATCCTGACAGAAGTCTCCATAGCATGTTACATTGGCATTTTTTGAAGAGTTGAGCAAAGATTTAATGAGGAGGAAATCTAGTATCTTTTGGACTCTGCAGCCTGGTGTGATACTGTCTGTGTGTCATAATATAAATTAAGTTTAGGTAGTGTCTTGTATACTGGTTCTCCACTTAAGTGTTGCAGCGTGATAACTGAGCCTAACTCACTCATGATATGTCACAAATAGTTTGACACCTGTTCTCATGCTATCAAAATGTCAGATGACTCACTTGTAATAACATCATTCTTATTCATTCAGCATTCACTCACTTGCATTCCAATATGCTTTCTTTTGGAGGGGTGGGTGCAAGGAAAAGGGATGAAGTCACAGGTAGCATGTCTGTCTTGGTCCCTGGAAGCATCACCTGCCTATGAATGTCATTCTTCAGGTGTCTCCATTCCTTTCATGGCTATGTGAGAAAAAAGGTTGAGAACCACTGGTTTAGTTCCATTCTCCCTCATTGTATAGACAAGGAACTGGGACTCAGAAAATAAATTGCTTTATTCAAGGTCTCACAAAAGTTTCAAAGAAGACTATTATTCCAGTACCACTGTTTTTTCCATTATTTTTAAGCCAATTATGAGTTCTGCCTCAATCTACAGCCTCAGTAGATTCAAAATTTTAAATATCTAATTATCATTCTTATTTATTCCTTGGCTGTGGTTCCTGTGGCGCAGAAATGGAGAATTTTGTTCTGTCAACAGAACTTAGAGCCTGCAGAGAATGCCTTTCAGATTTGATGAGTAAGGAGAGGAGACATACATGACTATTTCAGGGCAGGCTGGATTTGCTAGAGTGACCAGGATATCCTGCTCTTGAGAGAATCGTTGCTCTTCTTCCTCTAGGGTGCTCCAGCTGATGAACCTAACAGATTCTCGCTTGGCTCAAGCGGGTAACGAGAAGCTAGAATTGGCCATGCTGAGCTTTTTTGAACAGTTTCGGAAGATCTACATTGGGGACCAGGTGCAAAAATCCTCTAAGGTAACAGACTCTCAATTGGCTTCATTTAGTTCTCACTCGCTGCTTGAGGGAAACGGCAGGTAACAGTTCAGATACAATCTCTGGATTTCACATATCAGCATAGTCCAAATGTCTCCTCTTAGTCTGTAGAATTTGGGGAGACTCATCAAAGAATTGGGTCCATTTTCGTAGTGCTACATATGCTTAACAAATGGCCAGTCAAAACATGTTAGTCTCCCCAGAATTGGCACTTCTCATCTCTGTACATAAATTGATGTTCAGAATAGCAGAAGGCTTTGACAGTCTTTGTGTTATTTCAGCGTTGAAGGGGACCAGTAAGATAGCTCAGCATCTATCTGGTGTTGAGTAATACTTAGAAACTAGCTCACCTCTTCAATAAAGACTTTCTCAGCATTGTTGTTGATTTTCTTCCCATATCTTACCCCCTGAATGAGGACAAAAACAGTACTGGGATATGATTTTTCTAATCCATATTTTCCGGTTACTTTCTCATCCCTTAACACAACACCAGTTATATCGCCGACTCTCGGAAGTTCTGGGCTTGAATGATGAGACCATGGTCCTAAGTGTCTTCATAGGAAAAATGTAAGTGTTTTGGCTTGCCATCAGCAAGAGTCCCTTGCAATCCTGTTGCAACTGTAACATGTGATCTTGGCATTGTGCTGCCAGTGCCTTGGTATTCCAGCATTGATCGTTTGCGTCAGAAAATTGTGCATTTGAGTGTGTGACAAGCTGTGCTTAGAGATATGGCCCGGCCCCAGAGCATTCCAGGCTTGTATAGGCAAGGGTTTAATTTTGTTCATGTGGACTCTCATCTGTAGCCTCTGGAAGCACGGGTGAAACCCTGTCGTGGCATTAGGAAATGGACCTCCCTCCCCATTGATTGGAGCTCAGCCTCTCACCCAATCACCTTGCTGCTAGGGATGCCCAGAGTGAGCATTCACTTCTGGTGCTGATTTCCACTAGGTGTGCCCCTCAGGAGGAGAGCCCCACTTTAAAACAGGCTATTCCTCTCAAGAAGCATCATACCCTTTGAAAGTTTTGAATCTCCAAAATCTAGCCCTATTGTTTGAACTGTTGGAGCTCCTAATTGGCCCTTTTTTGGTTTTGTCTTTGTTTTTAAGTTACGCCTCTTTATTTACATTTTCCCCTTTTTAGGACCTCAATTTATCAAAGCACACACTAGGAGCCAAATATATTACCCAGGGCTGTGTGCAAAGTGACATTTTGCCCCCTTCCGATGATCCCAATCCTAAACTCTCATATCCATGTGCTGGTTAATAATTTAAAATTAAAAAACCAAAGGGGGTCTAAAGGACTCTGCCAGCCAAGAATCCAGAAGCAAGGGCTACTAGAATTCTGCAGCTGACAGTGGATGTGCAGGTGCAGAATTGCATACGACTGCATGTTATCACTGCCGCAGAAATCTCTTACCCTTGCTGCAGAAATCAGCCCTGGAGTGCCCCAGAATTCCAAGGGCCTGGGTATGGGCCAGTGTAGCTTTGGAACCAAGTAGTGAAGATTATCTGAAGGATAATTTTTCTAGTCAACCAAATGTAAGTACGGAGATTTTATACCCATTTTTTGTGGTTGTGATGTCTGTGAATTGGTGATGCAGATGTGTGGTGATTCTTGATGGATGATTTTCTTCTTCTCCCAACCCTCAAGGAAACGAGTCAAATCAAAAGTGTCTCCTGCTTTTTTTTTTTCTTTTGTCCTCCAGCATCACCAACCTGAAGTACTGGGGCCGCTGTGAACCAATCACCTCCAAGACACTACAGCTTCTCAATGACCTCTCCATTGGATATCCTTTTCTAAACCAGCTTCTGTGCACAACAGGAACTGTGGCATGCCACAGTCTGAGAAATCATGGCCTCCTGCTGTTTCCACTTTAATTTAGCTTTATGCGTACTCAAGTATCTTCCCTTCTCCTTGGAGCCAAGGGCAATACCCACACAGAATCCAGGAACAATGTCAGACTCCAAAAGTGAGCCAACCCACAAGCTAATAGTTTACTACAGATTTATCCCTGCTATCTCTAAGAGCCAGAAATACCCAGTAGATCTGTCTGATAGGTACACATTCTTTGTGGCCAAGATTTTAGCATCCTCAGCGGCAGCAAAGTCCATCTTCATTGTCTGTCAGCCTGTTGCTAGACCTGATTACAAGCTTTGCAGTGAAAGTAGTGGCTCTACTTCCTCTTTACTCGGGCTGTGTATGCTGTAAAGTTTGAGTTGCTCTAAGACAGCCTTTCATAATGAGGGTCTGCAAGTCAACCCTGTAATAATTGAATGACTTTTCTTGCACTTCTCCCAAAGATTCTACATAGCTAGTACCATTCTAAATGCGTAGAAGAGAAGTTAATTCACCGCACACAGTGGATGCCTTAGGCAAGGCTTTAGGGCTTAATTCTCTCTTAGAGGCCCCTTTGAGAAAAGCTCCTCTAGGATATTCATGATTCTTGGGGAAACTACTGAGTTTTATTTATTTTCTTACAGATAGGAGTTTGGTATTCTCTCATTGATCAGTTAGATACTGCTTAGAACACATTTTTTCCCCATTTGGCAGTGCACATGGTTGAGAAAAATAAGATTTCTGAGTAAAGAATTCATAGTAAAGAAAGAAATTGTATTTTATCCTAGAAAGTTTCGTTGTGCATTAAGATTCTCAGTTTGCCTCACACTTTCCTTGACCACCTTCCTTTGTCTTTACGTACAGTAGTGTACGGAAACTAGTGAAGCTTAGTGCTGTGCAGTTCATGCTGAACAATCACACGGTGAGTGGTCGGAGCCCCTCCTCCTGGCTCTGCTCTCCCTCCACCCCGCACACACTCTCTCAGCATCCAGGGGGGACGTTCAAATCCCTGAGTCCACCATGCTGCCAGACCACACTCACTGCCATCAGAGCTGCTCTTTGGGACCCAGGTGATCTGAGTGATGCTGAAGTCACCTACTTGTGCTCGTACTAAGATAAATCAGTTGTAGGTAACAACAACAGTAATAAGAAGAAAAACACATACCCTTAAGGAAATGATGATGTAGCCAGTAGTGTGAAAGGGCTCAGGAATTCTAAAACTGCTGCCTGGTATTGTGCCTCTAACCCTTGTTTTCATCCTTGTAACTTGTTTTCTTTTCTTCACTAGAGCGAGCACTTTTCGTTTTTGGGTATTAACAATCAGTCCAACCTGACAGACATGCGGTGTCGGACCACCTTCTACACGGCGCTTGGGCGTCTCCTCATGGTGGACTTAGGTACTGCAGTGCATCCAAGAGGCTCAGGAGGGCATCTGGCATTGTTCTGAATTTTTACTTGAAGATAGAAAACTAGACGTGGGGGAGGTCTTTCCCGCTGTCTCAACAGCAACAAACCTATCTGAAATAACAGTGTAATTTCACCAAGAACTGATCATGCTGTCACGGTCCCTGTAACCGGAAGACAGTAACAGTATGGCCTGAAGTTTTCATCTGATGTGCAGTGATTTAACATTTTGTTCATGTTTCTCATTTGTAAAATAAGGCAATTGAGATTCCTAAATGCATCTCATTGGCCAGATAACCCCTGCACCCCACACTGAGGTGCAACTCACCTGAGACAGTCAACACCACTTTTCGTTGCTGGTTCACTAACACATGTGACCCAGGAGGGTGTCAGCACCTTTCCAGCTCCAGTTGTGCTATTAGCAGTCTGGGGTCCACTAATGACTGAAGCTCAATGGTATCATCATAATTTTGAGCAATTTAAATGTCATCCTACTAAAATGACATTATAAAATCTTCTAGGTTTAAGAGAGATGACTGTTTAAAAAGAAGTGTGAATAAAGCCTCCACAAGCACCTGATTCAAGTTTGAGTCTCATCTGGTTCTCATACACCAGACTCAGTCCTTTCTCAAGTGACTGTAGTTCTCACTTAAGGAAAAATAAATAATGTAGTACCTTATACTCATGAATCTTTGATATTTTGGCTCAGTATGGAAAAAATTTGGACATGACTGAACTAGATGATTTCTGCCATTTTCTAGTTTAAAAGTTGTTTCTATATATACATTTTATTCTGAAATTGCTACTAATACCTATTGGGATAGTAAAGGGACCCCTTTGAATTATCCTTGGGTCTGCTCTTCTTTATACCATTTTATTTTCCAGGCATATACAGCTTTGAATTTTTTATATTGGGGTCACACTCTGGGTTGTTTCCCTTACAGGAGAGGATGAAGATCAGTATGAGCAATTCATGCTGCCACTCACGGCAGCGTTTGAGGCTGTCGCCCAGATGTTTAGCACTAATAGTTTCAACGAGCAAGAGGCAAAGGTGAGTCCTTCACCCACTGATTGATCAGCTTCTGGTTGAGGCCACCCCTGACAGACTAGCTCAGCTAGCACTGTAGAAAAATTGTGCTTATCCATAAATTGTCCACTAATTTAGCTTTTTATTTAATCTCTTAGACTCCTGGGATTTTGAAATAGAAGAACCAGTTTGGTTTATAAACTCTTTATTTTTATGTTAAAGTGTGTTCTTAAGCAGCCCTTAGGATTTTTTGTCTAAGTTTTCAGATGTATTAGCATAGTTATTTTCTATGTTTCCTCATTGCCTTTTTCATCTCTGTTGTATCTTTAGGTATGTCCCCTTTTTATTTTGAATACTGCTTACTAGTGCTGTCTCTCTTTTTTTCTAGATCAGTCCTTTCAGAGATTTGTTAATTTTATTAGTCTTTGTAAAAAAAAAAAAATGGGGGGGCTTATTTTCGCTCTATTTTATTTATATTTTCTATTTTATTTATTTCTATTCTTAATCATTATTTTCCTTGGAGTTGTTCTAACTTCTTAACTTTTCAGTCCTTCTTCTTTCCTAATGTAATCATTTAAAACTAGAACTATCCTCTAGGTATATTATTCCACAAGTTTTTTTTTTTAAATTGTCGTAAAAAACATAACATCAAATTTACCATCTTACCCATTTTTAAGTGTACAGTTCAGTAGCATTAAGTGTATTTACATTGCTGTGAAACAGGTCCCCAGAATCCACAAGTTTTAATGTCACATTTTCGTTATCGTTCTCTTCTTTGTATTTTCTAATTTCTGTTAAGATTTCTTCTTTGACACGAGTCATTTAGAAGGCTTTGTGAATTTACGTGTAGATGGAATTCTAATGTTCCCTTTAGTTATTGATTTCTGGCTCCCAGAATTGTCAGTTGTTGATTTTTGCTTTTTTCATCTTTTTACTTCACACATACCTGCTGTCCTTACCTACAGATCTCTGTACCTAACCAGAAGACACTAGGCTAATAATATTTGTAGGGCTTTTTTGTGGTGTTTGTAGTGACACTGAGGCTGAATTACAGAGCACCTAAAAATGTCAGGTTTTACTTGACATTCTAAAATTCTCCATTTTCATCTTTAGAAAACCTCTTAGTTGTCTGTCTCCAAATCAACAGGGAGGTCAGAGAGCAACACCACTTTGTCCAACTCTTTCTCCTCTTTCTAACAGTGTTTTGGAGTTGAGATGGATACCATTCAAAGCTAAAGTTAGTGTGGAATCAGTAACTTCGGCTAGCGTATCAACCAATATCAAGGATCATTTAGGGATACCAGTGAATATCAGTCCGTTTTCCCCATCACATTAGTTCCATACAAAGCAAATGAAATTAATAAAAAGAATCACCTTGGCCAGGAACTACAACCGTTACCCACATCTGTGTCACACCTCAGCATAACAGGTCTTTTAGATTGACCATGTCTTAGATTTGAAAATTGAGCCTATGGTATCAGTTTAGGAATAGAACTGTTTGCTTAAAGCAGGCTGTTGGCAGAAGTCCAGTTGTTTTTGACATATCAGTCAGGATCCCCAAGTGTGCTACCTCCTTGAACCTACTGATGAGTATTAGCTTTTAGGAACACGAGGAAAGGTTCTATGGAGAAAGAGAGCATTGGATTTGGAGCTTCATGCTGTGAGTCCTAAGCCTGGGCCTCTTGTCACGTAGCACCATGACTGTGGGCAAGTTACTTGACCTCTTTAGGCCTCAGTCTCTTTTTCTGTAAAAGCATAGTACTTTAATGGTTATGGCTCCAAGGTTCAACATATCAGTCTTATCTCCAGACTCCCCAACCAAAGGACCAGGCATCATGTAGACTCCTTTGTCTTCCTCCTGGCAGGGTCTGCATTTGTGTTCCTATGGTGCTGGCACCTTTGTAGAATTAGGTGTGGTGCCAGACCTTTAGGATATATGGGTCTTCTACCTCTTCTTGTATGGACTTTTTTGCTCTTCTTTTTTCTACCTCTTGAATAAACTTTTTTTGCTTTTCTCCTTTTTAACATATGATTTATCACATTAATGTCTTAAAACTTTTTCAGCCTCTATTTTTGCTGTGATGGATCAGGAACCATCCCTTTTTCTTAGTATAACAAGCTTCTAAAATTTTTGAAGTGAAAAGATTCCATTGTATGGAATAGTGTGGAAGAGATCAATTCAGAATATTTGGGAAGGAGAATTTGTTGAATGATGGGAGAAAGAATTTGATTACAGATATGTGAAATCCCCATCAGGTGGTTATAGGTTTGGTTTTTTTTCTGTTTTAACGTATTTTTGCCTTCTACCACAGCGAACTCTAGTTGGCCTAGTAAGAGACCTGAGAGGGATAGCTTTCGCCTTCAATGCCAAGACCAGCTTCATGATGCTGTTTGAATGGATGTATCCTAATGCAAACTAGGAGTGTACCACAGCCAGCCTTAACTGGAATGTGAATGGGTGACGGAGGTCATTGGGGAGGGAGGGGTGATGAGGGAATGGTGAGGCAAAGAAGGTGAAGAGTTAGCCAAAAGGCCTACCACATAGCTTGTAAGCTCCCCTTCCATAGAGGTCTAATGATGCAAGGTTTCTGCTCTGGCATTGAGATAGTTTCCCAGTTTCTCTTGAGTCCCAGACATAAATACCTATGGAATAATACCACTGTGGAACTGTTGCATGTGAATTTTGCTGCACTTAGAAAAGAGAAACATTTTAGTCTACTGAAAAAGAGACCGCTTTACGAGGTATTAGAAAATCTGATCTTACTGACTTCATAACCCTGAACAAATTTCAAATCTGAGTGCCTCTGTTTCTCCAATAGTTATGTAATGGAAATAGCTGATTCCCTTTCCTATCACAGAAAATAACAACATGAAATGCATTGTGCTCTTCAAAAGAAAGTCATTATGTAAATTACAGTGTATTATTAGATGCCTGTTACAAGTTAAAGCACACACAATCACTTTAGCACCTTCTGGTTAGAAACACCCCAAGGTTAACAAGCAAGAGACAGGAAAGTAGAGAACTGTAATTTGTCACTTCAAATTTTCAGCACTGTACTTGCCCACTGCTGAGAAATTATTTAAAATTCTATATACCTTTCTGGATTCAGAAATTTCTCCTTAGCTTTTCATTTACAGATATCCATCCTACATGCCAATTCTCCAGCGGGCAATTGAGCTGTGGTACCATGATCCAGCTTGTACCACACCTGTGCTCAAGCTGATGGCTGAATTAGTTCATAACAGGTAAGCAGGAAGCAGGGCACAACTGCCCTTTTATCTGAGAAAGCCCTAAAAGAATTTGCTCTACCTAGTGTTATGGGCAGATAAGATTCACTGCTATCGAAATGTGAAAACCTCTAAAAGTTCATGCATGTCTATCTTTGTTTGCTTGAAGGAAGTGTGTCCCCAACCATACAAAGCCATAGCTGCTTGCAGGAAAGAAGTCACTTTAAAAAGAGTCTCAAGATTCTCATGAGAAGTGAGTTTGGCAAGCACGGTTCTGATTTCGCTCCCCAAACGCATCGGAGTTAACATTCAATAATGGCGCCATGCCTACTACTCTCATAGTTCACACTCCGTAGAGACAGTTGAGAGGGATGCGGGACACACTCGAATGCTCTTTCTTAAGAAAGGTATTTGTTTAGGCAAATTACAGCTGGATCAGTAAAGATTTACTTAAAAAGAAAGATTTCCAAAATATCACATTTTAGATTTACCCAACAATTTAGAGATGGAGAAAAAGAAAAATCCAGCACCTTGACTTGACTAGAATTTCAGGTGTGTGCATCTGCGTCTCGTGGGCCTCCTTAGGCAATTAGTCATTTTTAAGATTACCTTTGTGAGGGAGTGGGTAATACTCAAAGAGGCTGTAGTCTCGCACGAGGCTTATGGTCAAGAGTTTAGTCATTTTTTTTTTTAAGATTTGCCCTGAGCTAACATCTTTTGCCAGTCTTCCTCTCTTTTTTTCCTCTCCAAAGTCCCAGTTCATAGTTGTATATTCTAGTTGTAGGTCCTTCTAGTTCTTCTGTGTTATCTGCTGCCACAACATGGCTACTGACAGATGCGTAGTGTGGTTCCAATGCTGGAACCAAACCCAGGCCGCAGAAGCAGAGCACGCCGAACTGTAACCACTGGGCCATCATAGCTGGCTCAAGAATTATTCATTTATAAAGCAGATATTTGAGAGCATCTACTCTTTGCCACACACTTTCCCAGCTATTGTGCCAGGCAAAACTTCTGCTTTCTTAGATGTTACATTGTAGGGGGAAGACAGTAAAATAAGTATGGAAGATCATTTCAGACAGTGGTAAGTGCTCTGAAAAAATAAAATAATGTAATAAAACAGGACTTGAAGGAGAGGAGGGTGAGAGAAGGTGAGATTTAAGTTGGGAATCTAAGTTTCTGATAGCCCTGCAAAGAGAAGGGGCAAAAGCAATCTAAACAGAAAAAACACCTACAAAAAGTCTTAAGATAGGAGGAGCTTGCTGGGACTTGAGACAGAAAAATGCCACTGGCTACAGCGTGGTGAGTGAGGGGAGGCCATAGTAGGCTATGAGTCAGACAGGCAGGCAAGAGGCCAGATGTTAGAGCAACATAGTAGAGCAGTGGAGCCTGGGCACATATTCTTGTTACAGTGGGAAGCTACTGAAGGAAGTATTTCAAGCAGGGGATTGAAATTACCTCATTTACGTGATTTAAAGGTGTCGCCCTAGCCACAAGGTGAAGAATGGGACTGACTGTAGGGGAAAGGGTGGAAGTCGAAGGACTATATAGGACATAGAGGGATTCAGGCATATTGTAGAGAGAAATCTTGAGGGGCTCAGTGTGGGGAGGGAGTCATGAAGGACTCCTGGGTTTGAGGCCTCACCAGCTAGATCAGTGAAGCTCATTAAAAGGTGGGGCAAACCAAAGAAGACGTGCCCTGGTCTAGGGAACAGTCAGGAACTCAGAACTCCAGTTGTTTAGAATGTTTGCCTTTCCTAGCTGTCTGCTCTTGTAGCATTCAAAGTCCCTTTGTATCTTTTCTTCTTTTAAAGCGGTAACAATGCTTGTACCCTTCCCTCAGCTGCCACTGAAGCCATAAAGGTAAATACAGATTCGTGTCCAAAGGGCAGTGAGTTAGTACTACCAAGAAGTGGCTGTGGCAGAAGCTATGCTAATCAAATAAAATTGAGAATTGTAAGAGAATAATTTTATCTGCTGCTTCATTTTTTTGTTTCTTTCAAATGTTTTCAGTTTGAGCAGAACTTGAATCTAGCATGTTGATCTTCAAGATATAAGCTGTATCAGTGGTTAAATATCTTTGATTAACTTGGTTATTTCACATTAGGCTAGGTAATTTGCACATCTTAGTGACGAAAAGAATCACCCGAGGTACCCAGATGAACGCCTGAAGTATCCCAATCTTCCAACAACATACCTCTGACTTTTTCTCCTCCTGTGTTCTCTGCTTAGATCCCAGCGACTCCAGTTTGATGTTTCTTCCCCCAATGGCATCTTACTCTTCAGAGAAACCAGCAAGATGATAACAATGTATGGTAAGTTTGTTAGTGGAGCAGAACCCTGGAAGTGAATTCCAGCTCAGTCACCATACCAAATGCCCTGGCAGTGGCTGGGACAGCACTGTCAAGGCGTGCTATGTTGCTCATAACATTTGTATTACAGTGCCAGCTGGCACCAAGGACCTTTGGAGTAGGAGGGTTGAGTTGGTTTATAAACTATCAACTATAATGTCGTTGAATAAATACATTATCTATCACATGTCTACTCAGGCAATCGCATCCTGACACTAGGAGAAGTCCCAAAGGATCAGGTGTATGCACTGAAGCTAAAGGGCGTCTCCATCTGCTTCTCCATGCTAAAGGCTGCTCTCAGTGGGAGTTATGTCAATTTTGGAGTCTTCCGTCTCTATGGAGACGATGCCCTGGACAATGCTCTACAGACCTTCATCAAGCTGCTCCTCTCCATTCCCCACAGTGATCTCCTGGTAAGCCTTAAGCTTCATTGACAGGATCCAAGGCCCTAATCATGTTCTCTTTTTTTCCTGAGACCATGACTGAATGTTTCTCTTGAGAACTGCAAGCCAGCTCCAACTAGGTCTTTCGTTTTCCCATCAAAGGGAACTAAGCTATTTGATCTAAGACCCTGCTCCCTGTATGCTGAGGTACACAGTGCCGAAGCTGATTTTCATCTTCTTCTCCCACAGGATTACCCCAAGCTCAGCCAGTCTTACTATTCACTACTGGAAGTCCTGACCCAGGACCACATGAACTTTATTGCAAGCCTGGAACCTCATGTCATCATGTATATTCTCTCTTCCATTTCTGAAGGACTTACTGCACTTGGTAAGCCCCTGGGTTTGTTGGTTTGTTTTTACCACTTAACTAAACAAAAAGGGAGAATCTTGCCCCACTATCCAAAAGGATACTGCTTTGGGGAATTGGCACTAACAACAGAGTACATAACTCATGGGTACATTCTCATTCAGCAAATACTTAACTGATCCCCTCCTGAGGGCCAGGCGCTGTGCCAGGCACTAAGGATACAGTAGTGAAACAGACAACAGCCTGTTGACTCAGCTTATGTACTAAGACACTATGGTGGGGGTGAGTACGAAGTGCCGTAGGAGCTGTCAGAAAGAATACCTCAGCTCCTGGTTTTGAGGAGGTGGGGGCAAGGAAGGCTGACCAGAAGAATTGGTAGGAAAGCATAAAGCTAAAAGTTGAACAGGCTTATCAGGTCGGTGGAGGAGGCTTCCTCACAGCAGGAACACCAAGTGCTAGCATCTAGGAGCAAGAAAGGGTTGGGAAGTCCAGGTGGCTGGTGCACTCCTACAGAAGAGGAATGAAGGGAAGCTGGAAAGAGAGGGAGGCACAGGAACTCCGGAGATCACGAAGGGGGCCCGTAAGCCATGTGAGGGTGTTTGGAGTTCATCCGGAGGACAGTAGAAGCTGTGGAAGGGTTTTACTCAGCTATCTCTATATTTTTTCATCCTGCTCCAGCTGGTTCCTGTCTGGCTGGAGAAACTGCCTTCTAGTGATCTTAGTAGGTATGTGTGTGTTCAGAAAATAAAATACCTTTTTTTTTTTTGAGGAAGATTAGCCCTGAGCTAACAACTGCTGCCAATCCTCCTCCTTTTGCTGAGGAAGCCTGGCCCTGAGCTAACATCCGTGCCCATCTTCCTCTACTTTCTATGTGGGACGCCCACCACAGCATGGCTGGCCGAGCGGTGCCATGTCTGCACCCAGGATCCAAACCGGCAAACCACAGGCCGGAGCAGAAAGTGTGCACTTAACTGCTGAGCCACTTGGCTGGCCCCAGTAAAATACATTTTTATGTTGGGCTAAGCAAAACATAAGTAGGACAATTAAGTAAAATAATCATGATCTAGGGCAAATGCACATAGAAGAGCTTCTGGGTCGTCTACTGTGGTGAGTTGTCCGCATCTGCGTGCCACTTCTTTGGTATGCATTTACTTCCATTCAGCAAAGTGCATAGCCATGTCTAGGACAATCTAGTCAAAGTATCAGACCATGCTTTGGAAGACTATTTTATAGCTTCTTAAAAATAGAGGGACCTCTGCATAAATGGAAACCGAATGATTTACTCTTAGTGCTGTGGCCTGAGCTTCACCTAGTCAGAGCTCTGTCCACAGGCTGTGCTGCAGTGTCCCCTGGGTAAAATGCACGGACGAGTCTGCAGCTCCCCTACCTCGATCCCCCCGAGATGCTTTGGAGATGAATAAAGAACATGGTGGCCCACTCCAACAAACTGTAGCTGTTGATAGGCTGTATTAAGCTGTGCTTAATGACATCACCCAGGTAACTCAGAGTGTAGGCCACATCTCAGGCTTCCTGGATTCTAATCACAGCTCTTCCAGTTAGTAGCAGAGCGATCTTGAGGCAAGTCACGTAACTTCTTCAAACTTTGCTTTAGTCATTTGTAAAATGAACACCTACCTCCTAGAGTTTTCGAGAGGATAAATAAGATAATACCTGTAAAGACTTTAGCACAATCTCTGACACAATAGAAGTACTTACTATATGTAAACTATTTGGGTTTTTTAATGAAGCAAAAGACATACATGCACACCACATCCAGTCAATAATTTCAATATTTATTTCCTTATATTATCTATTACTACACACTCACTTTCCAACTTAGAATTGGACCTTGCTATATGATGAGGATGAGAGGGTAACAGGAAGTATCCCAAGCAGTGGCCCTGGCTGAACTGGCCACAATTCCCAGTCGGACTTGGTACCTCTATGGGATCTTAGCTAAGGGCAATCCAGGTTTGCCCAAGTCACCATCCACAGCTAAGTATTCCAGCTGTTCTACCCCTGCCCCTCTTTCTTCCAGACACCATGGTATGCACAGGCTGCTGCTCTTGCCTGGACCACATTGTGACATACCTCTTCAAGCAGCTGTCACGTAGCACCAAGAAGAGGACAACACCCCTGAACCAGGAGAGTGATCGCTTTCTGCATATTATGCAGCAGCATCCAGAGATGATACAGCAGGTAAGGAACATGAGGGTTAGGAGGCAGTGTGGGGTGTCCTACAATGGAAGAACCCCTCAGAGAGGGTAGGTGAAGCAAGATGAGTGACTACCATCTCATCAGGTTAATGCTGCTGAGGTAAAGTGTATGCCTTAAAATTGCAGTGGATCTTGAGTTTGCTGAGTAATCATTGGATACAGAAAATCTGGGGGGGAAAATCAGGTTGTGAATTGCTCTTTTGAGTGTCACACCAACGTGCATGCCCAGGGCCTGCCCCATGACCAGTGTCCTCCTTCCATGACAACGACTTTGCTCACCCATTGCTGTAAGTGGACATGAGCTAGCAGCATCCATCTGGTTTACCCTAGACAGAAAAAGCCTTCAACCTGATAAAACCCTCTGTCTGGAATCTGTCATTCTGTCTTGGGTAGCCGCACCCCGGGTCACTGCCTCCGTGTCGTTTCCAGATGCTGTCGACGGTGCTGAACATCATCATCTTTGAAGACTGCAGAAACCAGTGGTCTATGTCCCGACCGCTGCTTGGCTTGATACTACTTAATGAAAAGGTAAGCGAGCCAGCTCCCTGGTGACCAGAGCCAGAAGCACGGCTAAGTGTGCGTCTGCCTGTCATTTTCCAGTGCACTGTGTGAAATGCTTAAAGAAACACCCCACAGTGGTAAAACAGAGGGAAAACGGCCCATTTTCTGAGCATGTCCTTTTCATTGCTTTGAATAACACATAATCACTTATCTGTTAGAAGTCAGCATATGTGGCAGTTCAGACAAAGGTAAAGGATGAGGAAGTATTACAAGGGGAGAATATACCTGGAGATCAGAGCAGCTAAGATCTAAGTTCTAGTTCCAGCTCTGCCATAAACATAAGTCAGTCTAGAAATTGCTGTAAAAGAAGAATCTGGATCAGGTAACCCTTATAGTGTTTAGAGATTTAAAATTCTTGATTTTTAAGTAAGATAAAGATATATTATCTTGCAAGTACTTGCTTGAATCAAAAAACAGGTATGTAATGTTAGTGGGTGTTCCATTTCTTCTTGGAGAAAATTCCTTCAACCCTGCAGATGATGGGGAGCTAATCTGCCTTTCCCCATCTTCTCTTCTTACCCTGTCTCACTGCTTGCCCCACAGTATTTTTCTGACCTAAGGAATAGTATCGTGAACAGCCAGCCACCAGAGAAGCAGCAGGCTATGCATCTATGTTTTGAAAACTTGATGGAAGGCATTGAGCGAAATCTTCTTACAAAGAATAGAGACAGGTAAGTGTAGAGGGCCCTGCCAAGAAATCCTAGGCAATTGTTATTTTTCAAATCATTGAAACAAGGGAAATTCCTTAAAAGTCTTTTAGAGGCCATCTAAAGCAGTGCTGTCCGCTGGAAAAGGAAGCCATGTAAGTAATTTTAAATTTTCCAGTAACCACATTTTAAAAAAGGTAGAAAGAGACAAAATTCATTTAACCTACTGTATCCAAAATTTTTTCATGTCAATGTGTAATCAATATTTAAAAATTGAGAATTTTAACATTCTTTTTATTGTACTAAGTCTTCAAGATCCTGCGTATTTTACACTTAACGGGGCATCTCACTTCAGATGCTAAATTTTCATTGGCAATAACTTGATTTGTATTTAGATTTCTTAAAATTTACAATGGACAAAGTAGATTCCCATACTCAAGTTGTTCCAAACATACTTAGAAGTTGTTCAGTAACTGAATTGAATGTCAGGTTTTTCTAAATTAATTTTTTAATTTAGTTAATTTAAAATACAGCATTTTAAATTAATTAAGGTGTGGTTGGGGGACTGAATTTTAAATTTAATTTGATTCAGTTCCTCAGTTGCACTGGGCGCAACTCAAGTGCTCAGTAGCCATATGTGGCTAGTGGCTACCATGCTGGACAGCACAGCTCTCTACCACAGGTCTCTTGGCATTAAGCAATGAGACAGCTTCACTCTCTTCCTGCCCTCACTTTGTGACGGTCACCTCCCACCTCTGTCAGTAAGATTCCTTTTGTGCTGCCATGAGCCCATGGTGGCCCTCAAGCCCCAGATTTGAGCAGATCTCAAGACCTGCCATGAAGTTGTCAGGTAAAAAGGAGCACAGAACTAGCCCAACTTGCCCTTAAAGTCTTACAACTGACATGAACTGACCTTAAAAACAGAAGCCATCAGTCCACACGTTCTGTCTCTCAGTAGCTCCTCGTCTGCTAGAAGCATTTTAGGCAGAGACCTTCCCTTCCACCCTACTCCCCCAACCTACATGCATCCTCTCTGTAGGTTCACCCAGAACCTGTCCGCATTCCGTCGAGAAGTCAACGACTCGATGAAGAATTCCACTTATGGCGTGAATAGCAATGATATGATGAGCTGACACCTCCTTGGACTCTACCTGTACAGAGCAGCATCCCTTTGGTCTGGCCCAGAGGGGCGAGCAATTACAAGGGAGAGGGCCTGCCTGATCCTGGCTTCCTCTTCTGGGGTGTGGGGAGAATGGCAAAGATCAACTAGCTATTTCCCCAGGGAATAAGGGTGTGAGTGCACTCACTAGGGGGCAGGGCGCTGCTGGTTCTTGGGGGATTGGGTGGGAAGGGTGGTGGGAGGAGACAGAGACACAAATGTGTGAGATTCCAGCCCCCTCCTCCTGGGGCCACCCAAGGAGGGAGAACCCCCAGTGTCCTGCCACAACCTGCCTTGTATAAACATGTACATTTTTTCATAACATTTTGAACAAGGTTTATATTGACTCAAGTTTAAAAACAAAAAGTGTGACTGAAAAATTTTTACAGAGTCTAGTGCACCAATGCTGATGTGAGGGGTTGTGTATGCGAGTGAGGAAAAAATGTGTATTCTGGTGGCCTGAAGCTTTACTGGACTGAGGATGTGTGAACGTGCAGAGATATATTTAGTGACACAGTGTAGAGAGGCAAAAAAAAAAAGTAAAAATTCCAAATGTATATTTTTTCTTATTGCCCTTTCCTTGCCCCCAAAATTACCACTTCCTGTTACTGTATTACCCTTGTTATTAGGAACTCTAAGCCATGTGGAGCACCGTCCCTCCCCGTCAGCCGTAGATGCTGCCCTAGGTCCTTTGGCCTCTTGCAGTGACAGACAACTCCAGCTAAAAGTGCTTGGTGTTCTTGGCTTCATCCTTTTTCCCACTTTGCTTACCCTCAACCTCAGACAGATGCCTCTTGCTTTTAAAAGTTGGATGTAACTCTCTGATTTAGGGCTCTTGGTCTCTGTAACGGTGGAGACCAGAGAGAAGGAGTTGAACCCGTTGCTCTCCTGGTGAGCAGTCTGGATGAGTCCACCAGAGGCTGAACTGCGTGTGGTCAACACCTTTGAGTCTTCCCCAGCCCTTGAGGCAGTGTGTGTGGAGGTGTGCGTGTGGATATTTATATATGGACCCTGCACTGGCGAATGTATGAACTGGAGGACGTTGTTACCACAGTGGAGGGGTTCTTAATAACAAGGTCTGCCTGGCATGAAGTATTTAACATTCTCCCACCCCTTTAAAAATATACATTTTTATAAAATGAAAACCATAATAAATGTTTTGAATATTAAAAAAATTAACCTACAGAGGAAAATTAATGGAGAAAGCTCTTTGCCTTGTACTTTTTCCACAACTGCTGCTGCTAGTTGTACGCATCTCTAGTTCAGCTCTTGCCCATGGGACACTCACCAATTAGGTTTTACATTTTTTTCTCTCCTCTACCCCTAGAAACAAGCCTGTTAATTTTTTTTTCTTCTCCTCTGGCAACTGTGTGGTGAATCCTTTCTTGCGTGATCAGGTTGCGGATAGACTTGTAAGGGTGTTTGCTGCATACAGTGTAAGCATTGTGACCGCCAATAAACTTCAATGGTTTCTACTGACCTGGTTTCAGCAATCAAGTCTAGTGTGTCTACAGGGACATGTCCCACTCTGAACACATGAAGGTGTCCGAACCATGGATTCTGAAAAGCCAGTAGATGACAGGAATCCCTCAACCTTGTCCAATTAGCTTGTTTTTCATTGGACTAAGTCTGACTCAATTTCTTTTAAAAGTATGATTGGTTTAGTTGCTAACAAAATATGTACCTTAATACTTTTCAGTGTTCCTGGCAATTAAGTCCTCTTATTCCTGGATACTACATAGTATGGGGATGAGAAGCAGTCCCCATTAACTGTCACATCCTTCATTTGATAATTCTGGCCCATGAGGTCTGCAAAGGATTTTTGCTGTTGCCCACAGCTATAAAAGTGAAGCTGCTCTCCCTTACTAGCTTCCAGGTAAGAACATGGCAACAAGCAGAGGAATAATAACTGCAGAAAGCCTAGTTTTGTTAATGTTCTGACATCTGCTCCTCTAATGTGGCTGGGCTTCATTCATTAGATCCTCACAAGTTTAAGGATAAATGTTATCCCATAACATACTTTTTTTGTACTCAGTGGGCCAGAATTATCGAATGAAGAACACTACAGTTAACGGAGCCTGCTTCTCATTCCCATACTATGTAATACCCAGGGAAGGGAAGTTAATTGTCAGGAACATTGGAAAGCACTCATATCCAGGGAATCACAGGCTCTGGAGGCCGCTGTTGTCCACCTTACCGAGATGTCCTGCTACCCGTGCCTGCTGTTTCAGTCTTCTGGGTACCTTCTTGGTCCCAAGTCATTTCGAAGGCATAAAATTGTATTCTAATGGCCAGAAGGCAAATACAATTGATTCGTCTTAGCCAGGTCTGTCCCTAAGCCTAAAAGAAATATAAAATGGTTAGGCTTCATTAATATGCAAAACGCTCCAGTGACATGTTCCAGTGACCTTGAATTCTAATTCTGTAGTAAATAAGACAAAAAATAACTTTCTCACAGGTTCTTGAAGAACTTCCTGTCCTCCAACTATCCTGAGATGCTGAGTGATAAGCAAAACCCCAGACCCCTCCCTGCCTTTCCTCAAAAACAACTTCAGAGGCAAGAAACTCACCAGAGGTGGTGCTTCCTGATGCAGTCCAGTCCTGACAAAGTGCCACAGTTAAAATCTTCCCCAGCCACATCGAATTTGTTAACCAGTGAAGCTGTTCCTTTCTTAATTGACGATTATAAGGGGGGGTACCCAAAAAGTAGCCATCTTTTCTGATTAATTATCAGCAATTTGACATGATTCAAGCTAATAATTGGGAAGCCAGTTATCTTTAAACTTGGGATTTCCCCAAGAAGTCATGTGGAGGTTGTATTCAGTTAAAACAAGAGTCTATTAGTTTCTGGAATATCCTGGGCACTGTGGTCACCATGTCAAGTGTCTATTTAGACAGTGTTTCCTGACACATACTGTGCCTTACGTTGACAGAACACCTAAAGTCTTTACTGCAGATTATTAAATTGCATTATGTATGTATGTGTGTTTTGTTGGCTCTGCCCAAATAAGGGTTATCTATTCCCACCAAAGTATAAATCAGACAAAAGAAGAAGGGATTTGGCCCAGGGTCAAATTTCAGCTGTTTAGATTTTAAGAAGTAAGGACTTTAACGTGAGTGTCCAATAAGTTTTATATTCTGCAAACATGAACTTATTCTTAAGAACTTGTTTTTTTCCCCCAAATGGAAAGATGTTCTAGTACCTTATGAAATTTCAACCAAGTGCAGAAACAGACTATCTTCCAAAATACTCTTGGTCATGAGATGACATGAAGAGAGACAAAACACATCTCTATATCCTATTTGCCATCAGCCAACCCTCCCCCCACCCAAGGTTTTTGCCTGATCTACAAACAAACCTAAGTTGCCATCTAATGCTACCAAAGTGCCAAAGCAAAAATAATTACAGGCAACCTGCAAAAGTCATAAATCTGATAACAAGGCCTTGAAAATGTAAATGATTATGACTAATTAAAAGGCCTATTTAAATATTTTTAAAATAAATTTGAAAGGATAAAAGTATACTCACCAGCCGTAAGTAACACAACTGCCAATTAGGTGCTAGATAATGTCTAAGAGGATTCTCGCCTCTGTCACCTGTCTCCTGGGTCCATTACATCTATCTGGAGTTTCTTAGATAGCCTGGAATTCACTGGCCAGCCACTTTGGTGTATTTCAGGAGCAGTGGGTCAGCTAAACGAATCAGCTGCCAGACGGTAGATGATCAGAATGGAGAATGGAATCAAGCTTGGAACATCATCCCTCTTCCTCAGCAAACCCTACAGGACAGCCTGACTGCTGCTCTCTGTTCATTTGTCAAATACTTAGCATCCACTATAGGCCAAACACCTTTTTGACAGTCAGCAACAGAAAAGGAAACTCAAAACCAAAAATCATCACTTGCAAGGCAAATTCATTGCCACTCAACAGTACAAACTCACTCCAAAACACAATGAACAGTACTTATACAAGCACCATACACAATTATATTTTACATTCTGCTTGATAACCGTGAAGACAGACAGCTCAGACTTAAGCATACAGCATTACCCATATGGCCCAAACCACCATTAGGTTACAAAGAAATGAAAAATGACAAATGGGGACTCTTCCAACACCTGCTATTGGATAACAAATTAAGTCAGTCCATGCATGTCTGGATTCAAGGTCTGGAGGACAACCAAACTCAGGATAAAAACTGATTAGTAGGACAATAGATCTGGCTTTATGTAAAGCTCAGAGGGGCCACCGTACAGAGTCTTAGAGTAAAATGGTGGGGACGTGTAGGAGCAGTAGTATCCAAGTCAGAAAGCCCAAGCTTGCCTCAGCTCTTCAAGAGTACATTGGGCGGTGAAGGTACAGCATCCTCTCAAGGCTGAATTAATTCAACTGGGAAATCAATGGAAATGAAACCACTTTTCATTTTGAGAATATAGCAGGCCATTATCATTTCTATTTATCAGAAAACCAATTCCCCACCCTTGAACACTTTGCAGTCTGGGACATGTGTCACAAAGCAAATCAAGTTAGAACCTTTACCAGCCAAGCTACTGACGTGCAGCAGAACGCTGCCATGCAGCTAGACACGGGCCACTGCTCTCTGCCTCCCCGCCCTACCTCCTGCCTTCTCCCGGTCTGCAGACCCTCCCTCTCAGTCTAAACTTCCATGCCTTCTGCCCACCTGCCCTTCTCAAGACACAAGGGAGAGGCCCACTCCCTCTCTGAGGTCTCGCCGCTCCTGTCCCTGCCCCTAAGTCTTAGGACCTACTCACACGTCTATTTGAGGTATTCCTATCCCTAGTTCTTCCCCATCTTAGCAACCAAAATGTGCTCCCTACAAGCCTGGACCAGACGGAAAAGGTCCTGATGAATGAGAAGGATGTGTATCTGGGGCGTGGGCAGAGTGCAGAAGATGGTAGGGGAGGTGATGGGCTGGACCTGACCTGGTGAGAGCCGTGCAGAGCCCCGGCTGCCTGGTCTGGGCGAGAGAAACGCGCACGTTGCCTTGGGCCTCTCCCAAAAAGAAAAGAGCAGAAGCCGCTGGCACCATGCCCCTGACCCACGAAGGAAAGAGGGAAGGGGCGCACCCGACCCGGCTCGACTTCCCCAAACAGGCCGCCACCCCCGTCGCGTCTGCGCGCGCAGGATCGTTCCCAGACGCATCTCCGCGCGGGCCCGCGCCGCCGCCCTGCGCAGGCGCAGTCGTGACTCCTGCCCGCGCCCACGGCCCGCCGCGCCAGGTGCGGGGCGTTCCTGGAAGGCGGGCGTTGCGCTGCCGCGGCCCTCGGACGCTCGCCGAGCCGGGTCCCGGGTGCTCGAGGTCACGCGCGTGGCCGCACCCCGGCGTGCGCCGTGGCAGTCGTGAGGCGCCGTCCAAGGACCCGGCTGGAAAGGATGGTGGCGGCGCCCTCCACCTGCTCTGGGAGCGCGGAGGAGGAGCCCCCGCGGAAGGAGCCGGCAGGAGAAGGCCGCGCGGGGCACGCAGGCCGTGCACAGCACTGGGGCTGGAGACGTTTTGTACCTTTCTAGGAGTTGCAAAAATAGCCTGGCTGGACGGGGAGTGCGGCCCCATACATGTCTGGATGAGAGGCGGGGCAAAAGAGGTTGGGGTTTTATCCTAAAAGCCCTAAGTTTCCGAAGGCCACTTTGCAAAGCAGCCTGGTGGCCAGTCTTCCTTTAACCCACCAGCTAGTGGGCGGTAAGGATTTGAACCAAAACAAGGGCTGTGAGGAGAGAGTTGAGAAGTATGGGGGGGGGGGGGGGGGGGTGGAATCAACAGGACTTTATGACCAGTTGGATGTGGAGGGTAAAGGAAAGAAGATTCTAGTATGAGTCCCAGGTTCCAGAATAGAACAGCAGCTGAGTCAAGGCAAAAGAAGCATGTCGGCAGAGCGCTTGGTGACCCGGAATGGAAGTGTGCTCCAAGGAGACTTCCCTGCTCTTGCAGGCAGAGCACCTGAAATTGCACAAAAAATCCGAAAATAGAAGAGGAGGGAGGTGCCAATCATTTTATGAAACTAGCATTTCTTTGATACCAAAAGCAGACAAAGACATTTTTTTAAAAACCCTTTAGACTGGTAATCCCTCATGAACAGTACTGCAAAAATCCTTAACAAAATATAGGCGAATCAACTTCAAAAATATATTAAAAGGGTACCAGAACATAACTAAGTGGGATTGATCCTAGGAATGCGAGGTTGCCTTAACATAAAAACTCAATAAATGTAATTCACCATATAGACAAAGAAGAAAAATCAGATTGTGTCAATAGGTCAATAACACATGACAAAATTCGGTACCTATTCATAATAAAAATTCTCACAAACTAGGAATAGAAACTTTCCTTACAGGTTAAAAGACATCTATGAAAAAGCCACGAACAACAGCATACTTAAAGGTGAAAGACTAAATGTTTCCCCTAAGATCAAAAGCAGGGAAAGGATGCCCATTCTTACTACTTCTGTCCAACACTGTACCTGACGTCCTCACCAGGGCAAATGCAGGCATAGCTCATTTTAATGCACTGCACTTTATTGCACTTCACAGGTACGGCTGTTTTTGCGAGACCCTCCACCAGCAGAAAGATTCCAACTCACTAAGGCTCACATGATGGTTAGCATTTTTTAGCAATAAAGTATTTTTTAATCAAGGTATGTACATTGTTTTTTTAGACATAATGCTTTTGCACACTTAATAGACTACTGTACAGTGTAAACATAATTTTTATATGCACTGGGAAACCCAGAAACTCGTGTGACTTGCTTTATTATGATTTTAGCTGTGGTTGTCTGGAACTGAACCCACAATGTCTCTGAGGTATACCTATAGGCACAAAAAAGAAAGAAAAGGAGGCCGGCCCCATGGCCAAGTGGTTAAGTTCGCACACTCCACCCAGGGTTGGGGGCCCAGGGTTTCGTGGGTTCAGATCCTGGGTGTGGACATGGCACCACTGTCAGGCCACGCTGAGGCAGCGTCCCATGTAGCACCACCAGAGGCACTCACAACTAGAAGCTACAACTGTGTACTGGGGGGCTTTGGGGAGAAGAAGGGAAAAAAAAGATTGCAACAGTTGTTAGCTCAGGTGCCAATCTTTTAAAAAAAAAAAAAAGAGAGAGAAAGAAAAAGCACACAGATCAAAAAGAAGTAAAACTATTCACAGATGTCGTGATTTGGGGTACAAAAAAGCTACTAGAACTAATAAGTGAATTTAGCAAAATCACAGAATATGAAGTCAAAATACAAAAGCCAACTGTATTTCTATATACTAAAAATAAACTCTTAGATGAAATTTTAAAATATATACTATTTCCTATTGCATCCAAAAACATGAAATACATGGGAATAAATTTAACAAGATATGTGCCAGATCTGTACACTATAAAACATTGCTGCAAAACATTAAAGATCTAAATAGATGGAGAGATGATAACATGTCCATGGATTGGATGACCCAAAATTGGATGACCCCTCTACCCAAATTGAACTATGCATTCAACAAAATCCTAGTAAAAATCCCAAAAGGCTTTTTTGTAGAAACTGATAAGCCGATTCTAAAATTTATATGAAAATGCAAAGAATCTAGAATAGCTAAAACAGTTTTGAAATAGAAGAACAGAGTTGGAAGACTCAGTTACCTGATTTCAAGATTTACTATAATGCTACAGTAATCAAGAGAATGTGGTATTGGCACTAGGGTAGACAGAGCAAGGGAGCAGAATAAAGTCCAGAAATAGACATATATGGTAACTGATTTTCGACAGAAATGCCAAGGTAATTCAGTAGAGAAAGAATAGTCTTTTCCAAAAATGATGCTAGAGGATCTGGATATTCACTTGGGGAAAAAAATCAATCTCGACCCTTACCTAACACCATACACAAAACTTAATTCCAAATGGAATACAGCTGTAAATGTAAAAACTAAAACTACAAGGCTTCTAGAAGAAAAGAGAAAACTTTTGTGACCTTGGGTTATGCAGAGATTTCTTAATACACCAAAAGTACGAGCCATAAAAGAAAATAAAGTTATTGGACATCATCAAATTTTAAAATTCCTGCCCTTTAAAAGATACCATTTTGAAAAATGAAAAGACGAGCCATAGAGAGGAGTGAAAAATCTTTGGAACACATATGTTGGACACAAAACAGGTATCCAAAATGTATAAAGAAGCCCTACAACTCAATAAGAAGAATAACCCAAAATAGCCCAATTTTAAAATGGACAAAATATTTGAATGGGTATTTTGCAAGAGAAGATACAACAATGACCAGTAAACACTTGAAAAGATGCTCAACATCATTTGTCACCAAAGAAATACAAATAAAACCCCCAAGAGATGTCACTATATACATCCCCTAGAAGGGGTAAAATTAAGACTGACGATGCCAAGTGCTGGTGAAGATGTAGAGCGACTGGAACTCTCAGGTTGCTGCTAGAAATGCAAACTGGTACAGAAGTTTGCAAAACAGTTTAATAGATGCTTACGAAATGATCCAGCAATTCCACTCCTAGGTGTATATCCAGCACAAACTAAAGCATACGTACATGTAAAGACTTGCTCTCAAATGTTCATAGCATTTTTATTCATAATAGTCTACAACTGGAAACTACCCGAATATCCATCATCAGGTGTATCTGTCAGGGATGTATTACAAGGAATTGGCTTAGGCAATTATGGGAGCTGGCTATACAAGTCTGAAATCTGTAGGGCAGGTCTTTCAACAGATTGGATCAGTCCTGCCCTCATTATTGAGGGTAATCTTCACATAAAGGCAATTGATTGTAGATGTTAATTACATCTATAAAAAATCTTCACAGTGTCGAGGAGGAAAAAATTTTTCCTCTACCCTTCTAGGTTCTTTGGCTGGCCTAATAATTAAATTGACGGAAGACAGATTAACAGGAGAAAAAATTTAATTACATACGTACGGGAGCTCATAGAAATGTGAAAACTCAAAGAAGTGACCAAAGCAGGTAGCTTTTATACCTTTTAGACAAAGAAACAATAAATTTGTGAAGAACTGACAAGACAAAGAAACTTAGGCTTAGGTACTAATTAGTGCAGAAACTAAGTAGAGTTTGTTTACATGGCCTCTTGGTCCTGACTTCCCTCTCTCTGGCAGTAAGATGTTTCTGTAGCTCCCGGTGAAGGGAGCGTGACTTTCACATGGGAAATTTATTTTCTGCTTTCAGGGGGGACAGTGGAGGATCCCAGTGTTCTTGCACCAGCTGTTTCTTAAGTAACTTTAGTTTAAAATAATCAATGTGCCGGGGCTGGCTCCGTGGCCGAGTGGTTAGGTTCGTGTGCTCCGCTGCAGGCGGCCCAGTGTTTCGTTGGTTCGAATCCTGGGCGTGGACATGGCACTGCTCATTGGGCCACGCTGGGGCGGTGTCCCACATGCCACAACTAGAGGGACCCACAACGAAGAATATACGGCTGTGTGCTGGGGGACTTTGGGGAGAAAAAGGAAAAAAAATAAAATCTTTAAAAATAATAATAATAATCAATGTCCCAAAGTGGCATATTTTGGGGTGGCCTGTCCTGAGCCCCACCTACATCAACAGCCACCCCTACATTAGTGTTTGATTAAAAAACTGGGTGTGATACCCTAGCCAAGCTGACATATAAAACTGACTGGCAGGTGACTGGATATACAAATTGTGGAATACTGCTCAACGACAAACAGAAACAAACTACTGATACAAGCAACGATATGGATAAATAAATCCAACGTATAAAAGAGGGCAGACAAAAAGACCCTGTATGATTCTACTTATATGAAATTCTAGAACACTCAATACTAATCTATAGTGTCAGAAAGCAGATATGTGTTTGCCTAATACCAGTTAGGCATTAAGGGCCGGAGAATGACTGCAAAGAGAAACAAGTAAATGTGGGAAGTGATGGAAGAAACTATAACTTGACCGTGGGGATGGCTGCTCAGGTGTATACATTTGTCAAAGTTCATCAAATTATACACTTTGAATAACTGCATTTTTTCTCAATAAAGTTGATATTTTAAAAAGAAAAAAAAAGCTAATTCCTGCACAGCAGAAGCTCCAATCAGGGTTCCAGAGAGATATATCCAGTTCCTCCAGCACCATTTTTGGAAAAGATTATCTTTCCCCTGTTGAGTTACCTTGGCAATTTTGTTGAAAATCAGTGAACCTTATATGTAAGTGAGAAGTTTCCCTGATGGGAGTAAAGGGTAAGAATGCAATGAAAGAGATCCCTGGTTATCTCACTCTCAGAGGTGTCTCCTGGGCAGGACAGAAGGGGATGTGTCAGCTGACGTGTCACCTGTTCACTACCCCCACCCAAACATTTAAGTATGTGAACTGCTGTTTGTTAAATGACTGGCCCTCTCTGTCATGAGTGACTGTAAAGTCACCCTTTGTGTCCCATTCCTCACCAGTTGCTGCAGCTGCCTCTGTAGTCACTGTCCTCATCCCCCCACCTTCCCTGCCACAGGAGAGAGATCATCCTTCTGGAAACAGGGCTCTGCCTTTCTGGGGACCACAACCCTAGGGGACAGGCTTTCTGGACCTTGGAAAAGGCCCACACTTAGGGGATAGGTAAAGGACAGAGAGAGAAGCAATGAGCTGGAAGGGGCATGAATGCCGCTGCTTCCTGCTGCGTAGTAGAGCATCTCTAAGCTGGCGGGTCTCAGGCAGCGCGCCTCAGTAAATCCCCTTAGCCACGACAGTGCTTCTGGCCGTGTGGTCCTGGACCAGCAGCATCAACCTCACCTGGGAACCTGTTAGGCAAATCCTCTTGGCCCCACCAAGACCTTCTCAGTCGGAAACTATGGAGGTGGGCCTAGCATTGTGTGTTTTAACAAGCCTTCCAGGTGCTTCTGAGGCGCAAAGAGGAGGAAAGAATGGAAGAAAGGGGAGGGAAGGGCCTTTTTCTTTAAGGCTGATTAGGCACCTCTGGTTCCCCCTTCCCAGGCTTTATTAACAGCCTCCTGGGGCCGGCGGGCCCTCAGGTGAGGTCGGAGGAGGCCCGAGTGAGGGAGCCTGAGAGGAAGCGCTCCGAGGAGGGTCCATGGCGTGACGGGCGCCCACGGAGTAGGGGCGGTGAGGGGGGAGGAGTCGCGAGAGGGACTGGCCCCCGGGGACAAGTGGGACTGGGACCAGGACAGGCGCAGCCCAGCGATCTCCGCAGGGTGCGGGCAGGACCAGCGGGGCCGCCGGGCATCTCAGCAGCCTTACAGCTCCGGGCGATGTAGGCATCGTCCTCCCTTCCAGCACGGTCCGGTCCCCGCCCGCCGGGGGTTTGGGACCAGCCCCGGGCCCAGCGGCTCGAGCCGGCGGGCGCAGGGCGAAGAGGTCCGGGGGGCGGAGGCGGGCGGCGGGGACCGGAGGCGGGCGGCGAGGACCGGGCGGCCTGGGGCGGAGGCGGGCGGCGGGGACCGGGCGGCATGGGGCGGAGGTGGGCGGCGGGGACCGGGACCGGGACCGGGCGGCGGCGGGGGGCAGGGCGGACCCCCCTGACGGCGGGCGCCCCCGCTTCGCAGCGGCCCGGCCCGGCCCGCGCCCCCCGCCCGGCGCCATGAACCGCAGCAGCGCCAGCAGCGCGCCCGAAAAGGCGGCCACAGCCCTGCTGTGGGGTGAGTGAGACGGGGCGGTCTCGAGGCACTCGGGCGCTGGCGGGGCGCCCCCGGGGTCAGGGCTGCAGGGGAGACAAGCGGAGCTCCCGCGAGCCGGCCCGCCCCCTCCCTTCACAGGCTGTGAGCTAAACCAGGAGAAGAGGACTTGGACCTTCAAACCCCAGAGGGAGGGGAAGCAGGACTGTAGGCTGTCGCTTAGTACGGTGGGTGTCCCCCAGGACGGGAGGAAGGATGGCGCAGGGGGGCCTTGGACAGCTACAGAGGAGCAGGTGGAGCAGGGTCCCCTCCTCTGCCCTCAGGTGCTGAGGTGCCCCGCCTGCTTTCAACCCCTCAGGTTTGCCTGGGGGAGAATGCCAAGGAGGAGATGAACCTCGTGGAGGTCCTGCCCCCAGCAGGCCGGGAGGACAAGAAGACAAAGCCTGTCACCATTGCCTCGCTGCAGGCCTCGGTCCTACCCATGGTGAGCCTTGCCCTGCAGGCCTGGGAACACTGCGTGCCCTGGCCCCGGGAAGCCCTCCTCTGCCCTCGCCCCTGGGTGGGATGCACACAGACAGGGCGTAGTTCCCTGCAGACGCGCAGCGGTGCTGGAGAGCCGGTCGAGCCAGCACTGAAAGCCCAGGCTCCGGATGCAGACAGCCGGGCTCCAGCCCCGCCCACCCTTCACCAGCTGTGTAACCTTGGTCAAGCTAAATAACCTCTCTTCAAAATCACATTTTTAAACTGTTTGCTGCTGCTGACAGGACGCTGTCAATGATATTGATTGTAGATCCAGATTGTAGATCCAGAAATTCTCTTATTTCTAATAATTTATCTTGAGTTTTTATGCAAGTCATTTTTGTTTGTGAATAATGGCAGTCTTCGAGTCCTTTTTTTTTTTTTTTTTTGTTTCCTATTACACTGGCTAGGTCCTGCAGTAGAATATTGGATAAATGGTAATGGTAGATATCCTTCTTTCATTCCTCACTGCTTTTAAAGGAATATCTCTCCGTTAAGTATGAAGCATTTGGTAGACACCCTTTGTCAGATTAAGGAAGTCTCTATCTAATCTTACTCTACTTTGAAAATTTAGGCTTTCTTCTTTTTTTTTTTTAAAGATTTTATTTTTTTTTTCCTTTTTCTCCCCAAAGACCCCAGGTACATAGTTATATATTCTTTGTTGTGGGTCCATCTAGTTGTGGCATGTGGGACTCTGCCTCAGCGTGGTTTGATGAGCAGGGCCATGTCCGTGCCCAGGATTCGAACCAACAAAACAGGATTCAAACCAACAAAACACTGGGCCGCCTGCAGCGGAACACGCGAACTTAACCACTCGGCCACGGGGCCAGCCCCAGGTTTTCTTCTTTTTAAAAATCATGAGTGGTTATCAAACGCTTTTCTAGTCATACAATCATGGGTTCTTTAATCTATTAATGTGGTAAGTGATATTAGTACAATAATATTCAACCAACTTTGCATTCCTGGGATAAACACTACTTGATCATATTGTAAACTTCTAGATGTGCTTTGTTAAATATAAGACTCTTTACCAACTTATAAGTGAGGTTGGTCTATACATTCCTTATTTCGGTCTCAAGGCATAGCGTCCTAAGGAACTGAGGGATAGAGTATTCCCCCCTTCTGTATGGCAGAACAATGAATAGAAGACTAGGATTATCTGTCTTTGAAGATCTTGAGAGACTGATCTGTAAAACTGCCCTCAAACCTATTTTTTTTTCTTATGAGATCTCCCTAGATGCCGTCCATTCCCATAGTTTTAAAGATCATCTGTACAAATGAAAACTCTGAAATTTATTTCTGTAAACCCAACCTCTCTGTGCTCCAGACCCTCTGTCCAACTCAATATATTTAGTAGATATCTAACAGACATTCCAAACTTTACATGTCTAAGTTCAAATTCTTTTTTTTTTTTTTTTTTTTTTTTTAAAGATTTTTATTATTTCCTTTTTCTCCCCAAAGCCCCCCGGTACATAGTTGTATATTCTTCGTTGTGGGTTCTTCTAGTTGTGGCATGTGGGACGCTGCCTCAGCGTGGTCTGATGAGCAGTGCCATGTCCGCGCCCAGGATTCGAACCAACGAAACACTGGGCTGCCTGCAGCGGAGCGCGCGAACTTAATCACTCGGCCACGGGGCCAGCCCCTCTAAGTTCAAATTCTTGATTTTTATCTATAACCTCTTCCCCCACAGCCAAACCTGATCTTCTCCCGGTAAATTGCTACTCTTCCATTAGTCAAGACAAAAACCTCTTTCTCTAACACCCCATATCTGATCCACCAGCAAATCCTTTTGGCTCTACCTTAACAATATACCGCAGTCTGACCACATGTCACCACCGCCCTGCTCCACCCTGGTCTGGGCAACCATCAGCCCTTGCTGAGTTTTATTGCAGGGCCTCCTAATCGGTCTACCTGCCTTCACCCTTGGTCCCCTATAGTCTATTCCAGGGGTGGTGAACCACAGGATAAAATCCAGCGCACTGGCTGTTTTTGTAAATAAAGTTTTACTGAAACACAGCCGCACTCCCTCATTTACTTATTATCCACGGCTGCTTTCGCTCAGTAACGGCAGAGCTGAGTAGTTTCCACAGAGACCACATGTTTTACAAGCCTAAAATATTTACCATCTGGTCCTTTACAGAGAAAGTTTCCTGACCTCTGGTCTATTCCATACACAGCTGCCAGAAAGATCCTTTTAAACGCAATTCAGATCATGTTGCTTCTCTGCCAGAACACTTAGGTCACTGACTTCCCATTTCATTTAGAATGAGATCCAAGATCCTTTATGTTCTGGCCCTCGGCAAAGTCTCTGACCTCAGCCTTTGCTACTCTCTCCTCCCTAACGCTGCTCCAACCACAATGGCTTCCTTGACTGTACCTTGAAAACTACAAACATACTGCCTCCTCGCAGTCTTTGCATTTACCCTTCCTCATGCCAGGGACACTCTTGCCCACCACTTCAAGCCAGTCTTTGTTCCAGTGTCGTCTCATTGAAGAGGTGTTGCCTGACCACAAACCACGTCCCCTCTTCCTACCCCTCCTGTAATCACTTTTTCCCCAGTAGGACCCATCACGGACATTGGTTTTCATTTCTGCATTGTCTTTCTCCCCAACCAGAATATAAGCCCCGAGACAGCAAGGACTTTGCCTATTTTGCTTGCTGCGTGATCCGTACTGCCTGTACAATGGTGCCTAGTGAGTAAAGAAGTGAATGAGCTATGTGGGGCTGGTTTGATTTTAAACTATTGTGATTTATTTAATAGTTAGAAATGTACTCACGTTTCTATTTCTCTGAGTCAGTTTTTCCATCAGCTTTTTTGAGATATAGTTTATATGCAATAAGATTCATCCATCTTAAGTGTTGAACTTGATGCATTTGACAAATGTGTATAATTGTCTAACGGCCACCACAATCAAGGTAGAGGAAATTTCCATCGCCTCCCCAAAACTTCCTCATGCCTCTGCGGTCAGTCCCTTCCACCTACCACTGCCTCTGGCAACCATTGATCTACTTTCTGTCGCGGTAGTTTTGCCTTTTCTATAATTTCATTTGAATGGGATCATACAATACATAGTCTCTTCTGCCTGGCTTTTTTCACCCCCATTCTGCAAATATATGTATATTTGTTCATTCACCTATTAATGGACATTTGGTTAGTTTCCAGTTTCAGACTATTATGAATAGAGCTGCTGTGAACATTGGCGTGTAAGTATTTGTATGGACATATGTTTTCACTTCTCTTGAGTAAATACCTGGGAGTGGAATTGCTGGATCACATAGTCAGCATGTGGTAAACTTGATACAAAGCTGTCACACTGGTTTCCAAGTTGCTGTACCATTTGCATTCCTACCAGCAACGTATGAGAATTCCGGTTGCTCACCAATACTTGGCCTTGCCAATCTTCTTAATTGTAGCCATTCTAGTACCTATATAGTGGCATCTCATTATGGTTTTTATTTATTTTTTCTTGACGATTGGTGATGTTGACTATCTTCTTATTTGTTTTTTGGTCGTTTGCATATCTTCTTTTTCAAAATGCCTGTTTACTCATTTTTAAATTGAATTATTATTCCTGAGTTGTAGGAGTTCTTTATATATTTTGAATACAAGTTCTTTATCAAAAATATTTATTTCAAACATTTTCTCCTAGTGCGTGCCTTGCCTTTGCGTTTTCATAATAGTGTTTTTTGAAGAGCACAAGTTTTTAATTTTGATAAAGTTCAATTTGACATTTTTTCTCTTACGGTTCATTCTTTTGGTGTCCTAAGAAATTATTGCCTAAACTAAAGTCACTAAGGTTTTCTTCTAGAAATGCTATTTTAGCTCTTATATTTAAGTCGATGATTGATTTCAAGATAATTTTCTTGTATAATATGAAGTAAGAGTGGAAGAGCATTTTTTTCCACATTGATACCCAGTGCTCCAACACCATTTCTGAAAAGACTGTCCTTTCACCATACAATGACCTTGGCATTTGCCAAAAGTCAATTAACCATATATGTGTGCATATATTTCTATACAGTCTTCTGTTTCATTGATTTGTTTACCCTTATTCCAATAATAGACTGATTGATTATTGTACTTTTATAGTAAGTCTTAAAATTAGATAATGCAAATCCTCCAATTTTGTTATTTTTTTCCAAAATTCTGTTGGCAGTTCTAAGTCCTTAGCATTTCCATATAAATTTCAGAATTGGCTTTCTTTAAAAACTCCAGTCTGCTGGAGTTTTGATTAAGATTGTAATGAATCTATAGATTAGTTTGGGGGGAATTGGCATTGTAACAATTCTGAGTCATCAGAAACTGAATATGATATGTTTCTCCATTTGTTTAGGTCTTTAGCTTTTCCCAGAAATGTTTTGGAGTTTTCAGGGTACTGGTCACCTACATACTTGGTAAAGTTTACCCATACTTATGTCATGATTTGGGGTGGTATTGAAAATGGTATTAACATATTTAGTGGGGGGGCCAACCCGGTGGCGCAGCAGTTAAGTTCACATGCTGCACTTCAGCGGCCCTGGGTTCGCTGGTTCAGATCCCGGATGCGAACCAATGTACTGCTTGTCAAGCCATGCTGTGGCGGGCATCCCACATATAAAGTAGAGGAAGATGGTCACGGATGTTAGTGCAGGGCCAGCCTTCCTCAGCAAAAAGAGGAGGATTGGCAGCAGATGTTAGCTCAGGGCTAATCTTCCTCAAAACAATAAAATTAAAAAAAAATTTAGTGAAAGGTAATTCACATACAGTGTGCTTCACCCGTTAAAGTATAGTTCAGTGGTTTTTAGTAAATTCAGAGTTATGCGACCATCACAGTCTAAGTTTAGAATATTTTTATCACCCCCAAAAGAAACTCCATGCCTTCGAGCAGTCACTTCCCATTTCCCACACCCACTCACCCACTCACCCCCAGCCCTTTCTGTCTCTATAGATGTGCCTATTCTGGCAAATCATATACATGGACTCA